TATAGTATTGTCTCGGGTGCTGGGCTGGGGCTGGGGCTGGAGCTGGAGAATCCAAGATGGAGTTACTCATGCCTGGAGCCTCAACTGGGATGGCTTACTCAGCTGGCAGTTGGCTGAGATGGCTGGGCCTGTCTCTTCTCTGGGTGTCGATCAGGCCCACTTGTATATCTGTTTGGTCTTTCACAGGCGCCCCTCTCTTCTTATGGATAGGCTGGACTTCTTTATATGTGGTTGAGTTTCCTTCTGTGCAAAAGTAGAAGTTACACAGCCTGAACCCAGAAGTCCGCCACCCTCATCCCCATGTCATGCTGTTGATCACAAACCCATCCAGATTTAAGTGTTGGGGAGTTGACGGGAGTTGTGAGAGAAATGGTGGCCATCACTGCAATTTACTACAAATGGTAACCCCAACTTCAGGACAGTGTAATTGTGAAAGTTAATGGAAAAAATCCTGCCTCTCCACCAGGCCTCCACTGACACCACCCAGTTAGGAGAAGGGTGTTTCATTGCTGCCAGCCAGCGGTAGAGGTCCAGGCTCCCTATGTGGGCTCTTTTCACTCTGTGGGGCCGGGGGCGGGGAGGCCTCATCACTGGACCCCAGATCCCTCCTTGGCGTTCTCTGATAGTCCCAGCATGTGAGTTGAGGTGCCTTGTAATAGCCATGAAAGGTTGGAAATCTAGGCTCCCTACTTGGCTTATGCTGGTGTGGAGTGGGTGGGGTATCTTTTTTTTCCCTGTGATGTTTGAAATAGCACTTGTCCTAAAGTTTTCTGTCTTGCTTGGCTGCTCATCTCCTGGTCTTTTGACTAGAGAGCAGAGGCTTTTCTTAGAGCTTTTTGGTCTGTCCTCATTGATACTCCCAGGTTGCCCATTTCTTCAGCTTCAAGTTCGAGGTATGTGAGGTAAAGAGAAGACCCAGGAACCCAGCACCATGTCGTTCCTCAGGCCCCCAGCAACCTAGCCTGTCTGCCTTCTTCTCTCTACCTTTCAGAGTTGTCTTGTGTTTGCTTTATATATAATGTCCAAGGTTTCCAATTGTACACAGCAGGAAGCATAGGAAAAAGTAAGTCTACTCCATCTTGCTGAAAGCAGAAGTTCTGTAATTTGCTTTTTAAATTGAGAGGAATAACAGAATTTATTGTATGTAAGCAGCATTAGACAGTTTAAGAGATCAGATTCCTATATTCGTAAGTGCAATTTATTAGACTTATAAGAATTTCTTAGTTCCTTAGTAAGATTTTGTTAAAGGAAACTAGATTCATGAATCTGTTACATTTATAGCAAATATAATTTTTTTAAGAAATCAAAGTCATGCAGATAGCCTTTTTTTGTCTGCAAAAGCCAACCCTCTGAGAGGAGAAAGAAGAAGAAATGAACATATATTCCCATGCCCCCAACTCCCTCCCTTACTAGGAGTTGGACTAATTATAAACATGTTCCCAAACCGTGTACAGTGAAGCATTGACTCAGGCTCTGTGAGGCAAGTAACAGAAACCAGGTCTTCAGCAAAAAAGACTGGGACTGCTCCCAGAATGGAAGGAAGAGCTAGAGAAGCAGGTTTCTGGAAGTCATGGGCACCAGGATGGCTCCTGGCCTTGCCCAGTCCTGGCCTTGGGCAGCAATGAGCCCAGACTTCTTTCAGCCTTCATGCTTCTCTGTTCAAAATTTGGACCCCAGAGGGGCACCCCAGTCAGTGAAGTGTCTGACTCCTGATTTCAGCCCAGGTCATGATCTCCATTTGGGTTGTGAGATCGAGCCCCATATCGGGCTCCATGCTGAGTGCTGAGTGCTGAGTGTGGAGCCTGCTTAAGATTCTCTCTTTCTCTCCCTCTGCCCCTCCCCACCCCCAACTGGCATGCTCTCTCTCTCTTAAAAAAAAATAAGGGAGAGATAAATATATATAAATATCTCCCAGACAGAGTTTCTGACCTGCCTGGCTTGGGTCAAGCTTGTTTCATAGGCCCACCGTGGTCCAGGGGAGGATGGAGCACTTGGAATGAGAGTCCTAACAAGACCATACAAGGGGGAGTTGGGGGCATGGGGGAGTGCTCCACAGCAAAATCAGGGTGCTATTACCAAAAGAAAAGGAATGTGGTTAAGGTGGCAGGTGTGAGCATCACAGATGCCTGCAGACTAAGAGTTCTAGAGCCTCAGAGGTTTGGAACACCTGGGGTGGACGAGGGAGACCTGCCTGTGAGAGCCTCTAATCTGGTGTGCTGTGGGCCTCCAAGCAGTGGACCAAGGGTCCAGTGTTTCCCAAAGTTATTTAACTATGATGTGCTTTTTGCGTCAGAACTCCACCGACATCTCTAGGAACCCAGTTAGGGAAACCCTGGCCTGGTTGATCTCCAGTGACCCTTTCAGCTCTGAGATCCTGTAATCCTACAGGACAGACATGGTTTCTGCTTAATTCTGTCTGAGAAGAGACAACAAAAACACATAAAACAGGGCGCCTGGGTGGCTCAGTCGTTAAGCGTCTGCCTTCGACTCAGGTCATGATCCCAGGGTCCTGGGATCGAGCCCCGCATCAGGCTCCCTGCTCAGCGGGAAAGCCTGCTTCTCCCTCTCCCACTCCCCCTGCTTGTGTTCCCTCTCTCGCTATGTCTTTCTCTGTCAAATAAATAAATAAAATCTTAAAAAAAAAACAAAAAACACATAAAACAGAGATGGAGAAGGACCAAGGAGGTGCAGCTCAGGCTATGAGAGCCATCTTGGGAAGAAGTGGAAGCCATCTCCCTTGGGTCCATGAGATGCCCCCATTGACCTAGAGTTGTTGTATAAAGTGAAATGAACATAAGTCAGCTTCCTGCCTGGCCTGGCCCTTCACTTGCTTTCTGTTGACAGTCTGGCCCTGACCAGGGGCTTAGGTGAGGGCTGGAAGGTCCCTTGGAGGTTATCTGGGCCAGCATCTACGTTTTCCAGACAGGGACATACAAGCCTGATGAAGGGAAGGGACTCATCTAAGGTCATGCTGTGACGAGACAGCAAGGATGGACCTAGAACCCAGGTCTCCTGGCTCCCAGCTCAGCGTCTTTCCTTTATTCTGCAGTGCTGCCTCTTGCTGGGGACAAAGTCAAGGACAGCCATGGTGGTTTCCATCAGTAGACACCCCCTCCCTCCTTCCACCTTAACCCACAGTGGACTGCCTTCTTAGCTGTCTAGGCCCTCAGCATTCCAGGGAAGAGGGGAGTAGAGGGTCAGAGTGTTGACTTCCTGCCTTACGCTTGCTAATTACCTGTCTTCCAGATGAATTGCAAGACTGTTTGTCTTGTTCACTCTTGATTTGCTAGCGCCTGGCCCAGGCCTTGAAGAACTGGCAGATTTCACAGGGAGGGCGGCTGGGTGGGAGGAATATCTCGAGCGAAGGGGGAGTTGGAAAAGGCCCATCCTGGGCAGGGAGGATTCATATTTGGCTAAGATAGAACATTCTTTGGTGTTTAGTGGTGAAATAATGCTGGAGGGTATGTGGGGGACATAGTATAGTATGGTTTAAATGCTGAGGCAAGTACCCTTTAACCCAGCAGTCCTCCTTCTAAGAATTTATCCCAAGGGAGTAATCCACATAAATGCACAAAAATGCATGTACTCGGATATTCAATCACAGTGGTGTTTAAAAAAAAAAAAAAGAAACAGCCTAAGTGTCCAGCAATGGAGAAGCAATGATATAAAATATGGCACATCCAAATGACAAGTTATGTGGTATTTATTAAAAATGATGAATTAGGGGGGCGCCTGGGTGGCTCAGTTGGTTAAGCAACTGCCTTCGGCTCAGGTCATGATCCTGGAGTCCCGGGATCGAGTCCCGCATCGGACTCCCTGCTCAGCGGGGAGTCTGCTTCTCCCTCTGATCCTCCCCCTCTCATGCTCTCTGTCTCCCATTCTCTCTCTCAGATAAATAAATAAAAAATCTTAAAAAAAAAAATGATGAATTAGGGGCCCCTAGGTGGCTTAGTCAGTTAAGGGTCTGACTTCAGCTCAGGTCATGATCTCAGGATCCTGGGATCGAGCTCCGTGTCAGGCTCCCTGCTCAGGGGGAGTCTGCTTCTCCCTCCTCCTCTACCCTTCCCCGCCCAACTCATGCTCTCTCACCCTCTTGCTTTCAAATAAATAAATCAAATCTTTTTTTAAAATGATGAATTAAATATACCTGAAAGGAGAATGTGTTTATAATACCTTGTGTAAAAGAACAGGTTATAAAACAGATTATAATCTCATTTTTGTAAAATGAACTAACATTGTCATTCATATCTGAATTTATGGACAGAAAAAAATTTTACAAGAACAATAAAAGTTTACAAGAACAAAATGTTTGCAATAGTGAGCTCTGGGTTTAGAATTACAGGTGGCTTTTCTATTTTGTTGTGATTATTATTCTTCCTATCATTTCTTTATATTTCCTAATTATTGTACAATGAATATATGTCTGGTAATTGTCTTCTGAAGTTAAAAGAAGATGCCATGCTAAAGAATCTGAACCTTATTCTTAAGGTTCAGAAGTTAAATGTTTGTAAATGAAATCATTAAAAATGCCCTAAGCAGATTAGCCAGTTTAAAGATTCTCATTGAGACCCCTCGGGGAACATGAAGACCCCATTGATAAAATGGCAAATAGTATCCCCGCCTGTGTTTCTCTTTTAAATTCTGATTTCTGAATGTTGCTTTCCTGCACAAGACTGCAGTGAGTCAGTACATTAAGGAAAGAGCAGAGCAGATTTAGGCCTTATCAGGTCATCGTGACCGGTGGACAGAGGACGTTGCTTTCTGGAAGTGTCCAGCTCAGGGCAGTGTGTTGTAAACCAACAAGGCAGCCGCACTAACCTTGAGTAGTAAAATGTAAAACTCCAATAAAAGGCCTGGGATGTGGCTTTGTGGTGGATGTTTTTCTGGTTTTGTTTTGTGACAGTGAACAGTGGGGTTTCCTGTGGCCCCCCCCCCACCCCGCCCCAGGGCCCTTTAGCTTAGACCCAGCTCACATCTGCTCCTGTGAACTTTCCTTACAGGAAAACCTGATCGGCGCCCTTTTGGCAATTTTTGGGCACCTTGTGGTCAGCATTGCGCTTAACCTACAGGTAAGTCTCGTCACTAGCACTGTCTGGGGGCAGAGATACTGCTGATCAGCTGGGGTGTCTGGTGCAGGCCCCGCTGCGTCCTCACCATGGGATGTTGCCTACTCCATTCCTGGGCTGGGCCTTGGGCAGTCCCTTGTGGGTTGTTCCAGAATCTCTCTTGATTCTTTGCCCCCCGCGTGATCCCCCCACCCTCCTTGACTCTGATGACAGCGCTGTCCCTGACTTAGAAGTTGCTGGGGTGCCTTGGCCCAGCTGAGCCAGCCTGTAGCTGTGGTTTGGAGCAGGCTGATAGACTGAGGAGCTCCTGAGGGCACTGCAGGAACTGGTTCCCAGGGTATGCAGATGTAACTGGGAAGCTGACTGTGGTGGTTATTGCCCCCATGGCGGCTTTCAGCCAGTGGGGGATGGGAGTCTGTAGATAAATGCCCCAGGCTTCCATCCTCTAGTCACATGGCTCTGAGCCTAGTTCGCAGGGTGTCCCAGAGGGTCCCCAGTGGGATGAGCCCCTGTTGCCCAGGGCACTCCCTCTGCACCCTCCACTGGTCTGCTCCCTTCTCTGACTCACTTTCCCACACCCTTACTGTGCCTCCTGGAATCACCTCCCAAATCAACTACCTCCTTCCAAGTCCGGTCCCAGGGACTGCTCTGGGACACCGGGACTGAGACTTGACACCTGCGGACGAGTTAAATCCCACAGCACACCGTCCCACTCCTCTCTGCCAGCACTGCCCAGCTTCTGGTTGCGGAGAAGCGCTCTCCCTCCCTGGATCAGAGACGTGAACACACACGGGTAACCTGGTACATCTCGGCTCCACGCACGCCCATGTGCCGGAGTGTGCCCGTGTGTTTCTGAGGCCGCGTGGTCTCCTGGCCACTTGTCTGGTTCATGCTCTTCTTTCCACAGAGCGGAGTCTCTGCCTCCGCATCCGCCCCTATGCAGCCCTCAGCACAGCGCCCCCAAGTGGGAGCTGTGGTCCCTCTAAGTCAACATGACTGCCTTGCTCGCCTTGGTCACCGCCCCACTTTCTGCATCCCAAGTGCACACTTCCAGAACAAAGCCTTTTGGCCATACTTGGGCCAACTATCCACCTGAGAGAGGGCAAGGTCCACGGATGCCCCCGGGCTGCCCAGCAGAGCTGCCGGCTCGGCTCGTCTACAGAAGGGAGTGTGGCCAAGCAGCCGCCCCGAGCGTGGCCACTCTGGGCACTGCAGTTAGAGTGAGAAGTTCAACCTGAAGCCAGGCGACCATGGGGTGGCGTCCTAGACCCCGGCTCCCACCAGACTGCACACTGCCTGTGCTGTGTGTTAGAAATGCACATCCCCAGGCCTGCCCGGGGAGTGTCTGAGGCTTCCCAGTCAGTTTGAGAACTGCTTAGCATGACAACCTGGTATTGAGATGGGGACTGCTTGCCTCTTCTCTGAGCCAGGACTCCAAAAAAACCTGACACATCTTCCCAAATAAAAGTTGGGGGTAGATTTAGGGTACAGACATCATAGCCTCTTTTTCCCAAACCTCTGGGCCAATCACCTTCTTTCTCGGATTTCTAGAAGTACTGCCACATCCGCCTGGCAGGATCCAAGGACCCCCGGGCCTATTTCAAGACCAAAACATGGTGGCTGGGCCTGTTCCTGATGCTGCTGGGTGAGCTGGGCGTGTTCGCCTCCTACGCCTTCGCTCCGCTGTCGCTGATCGTGCCCCTTGGCGCAGTCTCCGTGATAGGTAAGACCGGGGCCCCCACCACCGCTCCCTGGGACCCACCTGCCTGTGCCGCCACCATACTCGGTAAACGAAGCAGCTTCTGCTTGGTAATGTCACTAACACTTACGAAGGGCTTCATACACACCGGCCCTGCGCTAAGCACTTTACAGATATGAATTCTTCTAATTCTCCTTTTTGAGGGCGACACTGTCATGATCCCCACTTTACAGGTGAGGAAATAGGGGTCCAGGGTGGCAGGGCTGGGGTACAGGATGGTCTGGCTCCCTAATCTGTTTTAGATTCAGAAACTTTATCAGAGTTGCTTTCTAGTTCTCCTGCAGAAGGAAGATACAAACTTGCAGCTTTCATCCCAACACTGTCAAGACATCCTAAGCTTTCGTAGGATTCATATATCTTACACCTCTAACAGATGCACATTCAATTTATTCTCTGATCTTTTTACATCAGCTGACACCACCTCTGAGGCATTGGTCACTTTCTCACCTGCCATTTCTCTGTGATCTCTGTAATCCCGGAACCAGCGTCTCAGAACATTTGAACCAAAGAAAAGACAAAGGAGCTTTGATGTCCGTGTTCCACAAAAAAAAGTAGAATTAGGAAAAAAAATTCTTTTCTTCTTAAATAAAAGATGTTCGTAGATTAGTGAACACAGGAGCAGGGACCATGAACCTGCGTTGAAATGTTTCCTTCCATTTGCTGGCAGGCCCCACATGGCCTGGAAGCCCTTCCTTGCTCTTAAAGGAAAAAGTGGTATTTTGAGTAGTCTTTTTCCTCCTGGAGTAAAGAGGGCCCCTTCTACCCCATGGATAAGCACAGCAACCACGCGCCCCGCCTGTGCCCACAGCAGACGTCATCAGTCAGTCAGAGCGTCCCTTCTTAGAATTCTCAGAGCTTCAGGCAGTCCCCCCAGTTACCAGGAGCTGGCAAAGAAGTGGAAACCTATTGCTTTTCCCGATCCCGTGAAGAGTCTCTCTCTTTCTTGACCAGGGTTTGTACCCTCGCAGCCCACAAGATGAGTAAGGTCCTCCAACATACTGTGTTCTTTTCCACAAATACTGTTTTAAAATATAATCTGACCATAGAGTTGAGGGCCCAGGGGGAAGGGATAATTGGGCGATGGGCATGAAGGAGGGCCCGTGATATAATGAGCACTGGGTGTTATATGCAGCTGATGAGTCACTAAATCGTACCCCCTGAAACTAACAATACAGTATATGTTAGGTAAGTTGAATTTAAATAAAGAATTTTTAATAAATAAATAAATAAATAAAATATAATCTGAGTGCCTTTAGTTGAGGCAAGTAACCATCCCCAGTCCCAGCCTTTCCTTGTCTTCTCCGGCCCACTTTCTATGTGTGCCACCCTGACAGGGATTGAGGTTCGTCCTCTGCCCATGGCTGACCTCTGAAAAGGCTTCAGAACCTTTCCTCACAATGAGAAACAGGTGACTGAGTGACGAAGTGCTTTAAATATTTGCCTCCAAATTTTAATACTTTAGTAATTCACATAATCAAATTCTTAAAAATAAGAGACTGAAGTAGAATGATGGGTTCTCAGGTATCAGCCACTAGAAATTTAAGGGGCTCTCAGAGCTTCTTAAGTCACCGAGTAAAAAATAATATTAAAAATAAATATTAGAGTAATCACCACTATTTGTTGGGTACCTATTAAGTATCAGTCGCTATTCCAGGGACTTCAGTAGTAATAATTGCTCAGTTATTGAGTATTTACTGCGGACACATGATTTACATGCATTATCTCATTTAATTGCCCTTATAACTCAGAGAAGGAGGTGCTTTCAGTTGTGTGCTGATGAACCAACATTCAGAGAGAGGGAGAAAGTGAGAGAAGAAAAAGAAGAGAATGAGGCAGTGGGGGGAAGGGAGGGAGAGGGGAAGGAAGGAATGGACAGAAAAGCGGGAAAGGAGAAAGGGGTGAGGGGCTTGATTTCATTCCATTCAATCAATATTTATTGAGCATTTATTGTTGGGATTTTAGACCCCATTTGTGGTGTTTCTGATTTATATGGTGTAAAGACCACCACCGTGGCCACTCATGCTACGGTGGTTTCCTGAATATTTAACAAGCAGCAAGCTGGCCTGAGCTGGATGCAGACAGAGACCCACAGGTCGTGACTCACCCCAGCACACACAGCCAGAAGAGGCAGAGCTGAGAATAGCCATCCAGGTCTGTTCATAGTAATGCCAGCCCCATCCCTCCAGGCAGCGACAAGGAAGTTTGAGAAGGAGAGAAGAACCAGGGGAAGAGTGTTAGACGTAGTCACAGCAATGGAAGGAGTAAGAGCTGGGCTCCAGCACCCCTTACCAGTTGCGTAGTCCTGAGCAACTGCTTCACCTCTCCTAGCCTCAGTGTCCCATTTTTCAGATGGCACCCACCTCGACGGGTAGACGTGCCAGAAAGAACTTGTGCGAATCCCCTGTCACCCTGCAAGTACTCAACACCAGTGCTCCTGGACTTGTAGGAAATCCTCAGGAAGGCTCAGAGAGGAGCCTCTCTTTCTGAGATGGAATAACAGAGGAACCAGAAGGACTGAGTTTTGGGGAGCAGAAGGGAGAGGTTAGGAAGTACCAAGCCCTAAAGCAAATGAGCCTACCCTAGGGCCTGGGCAAAGGGACTCCATCGGACTGATAGCAGCCTCAATTTTCTTTTCCCTGTGCTTTTATTTTTTTACAGCTAGCGCCATCATAGGAATCATATTCATCAAAGAAAAATGGAAACCTAAAGACTTTCTGAGTAAGTTCACTGATATGAGCCCCTGTTCTTAATTCTGTGCTTGTACTGTTTGTTCATAATAAAGCCAGCTCACCCCAATTTAGAGATCATCCGTCTCCTGCTCCCTTCCGTGTTGTATATTCCACCCTCATCAGCTCCTGAGAGCTGGGTTTTTTCCTCGGTAGTTCCCAAATCTGGCTACACAACAGAATGATCTGTGAGATTTCTTAAAAGGGGCTTGATTTCATTCCATTCAATCAATATTTATTGAGCATTTATTGTTGGGATTTTAGGAGGCCTGATGAAAGGCACCCTCTTTACCTAAATGAGTTCTAAAGCAAATGGGAAACATGGAGGTCAGGAGTTATTCTTTATTACTTATGCAAGCTGGATTAGAGCATGCAGCTTAGGCATGCAGCCAGAGGAACTTGCTCATGCAGCCAGGTTTGGGAACCACTGTTCTGAATCATTGTTATAGGATAAGAGCAAGATGGAGCCAGGAGGCTGAAAAAAAGAAAAGAATCCTACACTGAAAAAAGCAGAGCTACTGCTCAGCAAATATACGATGCCAAGACCAAAAGACTCAGAGTGATTTGCAGTAGTCCTGATGGCAGAGGGGGCGATGCAGGGGTAGCTGGGCTGGTTCTGAGACCAGTGTAGTTTTATGTCACTTCCAGGCTCACTCTAGAAAGTCCTGGTATAGGAGACATGCTAGTCCAGGCAGTGGCCTATGTGAATTTTAAAAAGATGGCCCCTCTGGGCATCTGTGGTTCTGTGGGCACATGCCTTGGTGAGCAGAGCATGGGCTAGATTTTAGCCCTCCTCACCCCTTCAGCTAGGTGTTTTTATGCAGTGAGCAACTTACACAACTGTGCATGGCTGTCCTGCCTAAAGTTTTATTAAATTCAGCAAACATTCACCCAATGCTAGACCTGTGCTGTACACCACAGGCATGGAGAGGAGTAAGACCTTTCCTTGCCTGAAGAAAACTTAAGACAGCAGACTTGTATGTCTTAGCAGAGAACTTATTATTGAGTTTAACCGTGGCTCATTCATTCATTGAAAAATTGAGGGGCACCTTATGAGGCCTAGAATGAAAATTAAAGACATTTAATGTGGTATCACATTTTTGGGAGACAATGGAATGAAATATGTAGATAGTTCTATCCAGAAATATCCAGAGGCCTGGGATCACCACGTGTAGGTCAGAACTCACAGCCTTTCCCAGCTTGCCTGGGTCTGGGCTGGACTTCAAGAGGCTTTTCACAAAATCCACATAGTTCAACTGGAGTGTGACAGGACCCAGGGGAAAAGTCAGGAGACTCCCAGGCCCTACTAACAGTCTCTGACAAGTCTGTGGAATAGAATATTGATAGTATTTGGACTGGTCCCTTGCGACTAGGTTAACTAGCAGATGGGAAATGATAAGGTCATTTTTAAAAGGTACATGGTAGGCTCTGAAGGTTTGCTTGTGAGATTTTGTTACATTTGGTTTTCTTTTATGTTGCCCATAAAGGGATTCTGACTTTCAAACCTTCCCTGTAAAATGTACACTGAAACTGTGGTTCAGTAGCAGAATGGCTACTGAAGGAGAAAAAAGAGGCAGTCTTACTCTAATACCCTCCCGGTGGGAGTCGAAATTGGTGCAACCAGTTTGGAAAACCATTTGACAGTAACTACAAAGCTGAAGGTCCACATATCCCCTGACCCGGGAATTCCCACTCCTAGTATTATACCCAACAGAAATACAGACAGTGTGTTTTCCAAATGACATGCTCATAGCAACAGTATTCATTATCACCCTGGAGAGTATTTGAAGACCCATCAGCCGCAGAATGGATAAATTTTGTCACACACCACAGGGGCATGAGAATGAAGGAACCACCCCTACACTCCACACCAGGATACAGATGAATCTCACAAACTCACAAACACCATCTTACGTAAACACAGACGCAAGAAATCATATAGTACGAGTCCATTTATAGAAAGTACAAAACCAGGCCGACTCTCAGTGCTGGTAGAAGTCAGCATTACCCGGGGGCTGCATCTAGTGATTGGAAGGGGACACAAGTGAGGATGTTGGGTCCTGCTAACATTCCCTTTCTTGATCTGGGTGCTGGTTACATGGGTGTGTTCAGTCTGTGAGAATTCATTGAGCACTTTTTGTTCTACATGCCACACCTCACTGAAATTTTTTAACATTAAATGTCATTTTTTTTTTTTTTAAGATTTTATTTATTTATTTGACAGAGAGAGACACAGCGAGAGAGGGAACACAAGCAGGGGGAGTGGGAGAGGGAGAAGCAGGCTTCCCGCAGAGCAGGGAGCCCGATGTGGGACTCGATCCCAGGACCCTGGGATCATGACCTGAGCCGAAGGCAGTCGCCTAACCAACTGAGCCACCCAGGCGCCCTGAATGTCATTTTTTAATTCTATTTTTTTAGAAGATTTTATTTATTTATTTGACAGAGAAAGTACCAGTAGGGGGAGCAGCAGAGGGAGAGCGAGAAGCAGGCTCCTCGCGGTGCAAAGAGCCTGATGTGGGACTCGATCCCAGGACCCTGGCGTCATGACCTGAGCCGAAGGCAGATGCTTAACTCACTGAGCCACCCAGGAGCCCCTAAGTGTTATTTTTTTAAATAACAGTAAGGGAGATGATCTATTTGTGAAGTGAAGAAAAACCAAAAAGAGCAGGTCATCGTGTGTTGCCCTAGAAACACATAGGGGCCTGAAGCCAGCACCCGAAGTGAGCCTATGACAGCCTCCCCCTTCCCTGCAGGGCGCTACGTCTTGTCCTTCGTTGGCTGCGGTCTGGCCATCGTGGGCACCTACTTGCTGGTGACATTCGCACCTAACAGTCACGAGAAAATGACGGGCGAGAACATCACCAGGCACCTCGTGAGCTGGCCTTTCCTCTTGTACATGGTAAGGGAAGCACTGGTCCTACCCACGATGGCAGGAGGGAGTATCAGGTCCTAGAACCTGGGAACCTGAATCTCCAGCAACAGGGGATTCGAGGGAATGGTGACGTGTTTCCCAGCACCGAAGACCGTGCTTGCGGGAAGTAGGTAGTTCACGAGGAAATGCTTTTTCCACTTATGTTCCAAGTAATGCCTAAATCTGCATAGATAATATGATAATTTTAGTTTTTAGAGATATTGTAGGTGTGTGTATATAATGTATCACCAAAGGACTGGAAGGAAAAAACAGAGATTCCATCCATTGTTGTCTCTGGGAGCTGGAATTATGAATGAGTTTTCATTTCACCTTTGTCTTTACGCATCATTTGAAATTTCTACAGGGAGCATTTAAGACTTTTATGGTAAAAAAAACAGTTAAAATTTTAAACAGTCATAGACATGTTATTTATTTATTTTTCCCGGCATCACACAGCTGATAGGAGCTAATAGAAACGCAGGAGACACTGAAACGGTCTCCTAAACTCCCAGCCCCTGTTAACGTCCCATGTTAGGTCTACAGATAAACTGATCGAGGAAGCATGTAAGGCATTTGATCAAGCTACTACTATATATTTCTATTCCAAGCCAGGCACTGTGCCAAATACTTTCTTACGTATCATCTCAAATCCTCCCAACTGCCCTATAAGGTAAATGTTTTTCTCCCCATTTTATGGATGAGAAAACTAAAGCTCAGGGAGGTGGGCTGACGGCCCAGAGTCCCACGAGTGGGGCTGGACTCGCAGCCAGCTTCCTTCGCCGTGGCCTGCTGACGAAGGCGGGCACAGCCTTCCTCTGATACGAGCAGCCTGGCACTGCTCTACAGGCCTGGAACGTTCTTTTTCCTTCGTTTGCTCACAAGGCCGAGGATGGATTTCCCAGGATTGGGACTGGGTCATCTCCCTGCCTCTAGCCAGCCCCGCTGCGCACCTGGTGGGCGTGGAGAAACGGCTGCAGGACGGAGCCAAAGAACCCCCCCTCTTCAGGGAAAGCTTAACCCCAGAACACAGAATTTTCTCTCAGGGAGCCCTGGGCTTGAATCGGTCACGTGCTGTGTGGCCTCGGCCAAGTCACCTACCTGGAAGCTCTGCCTCCTTCTCTGTAAGCTGGTGGGAGTCACTGGACCGGGGCTGGTGGCTGGGGCTGGGAGACACGAGGTGGTATGGGAATCACCCAGCACTTGGCAGGTGCCCAGTGACCCACTCAGTTTGTCTTCCTGACTCATGTCTGCGAGGAAGTGCTGCTGTAACCAAACTCAAGGTGGGTGGCTGCTTGGGGTGCAAATGGAACACGACCAGAGGAAATGTTGAAAGCAAAGAACTTTCACTCCTTGTCACAAGTAAGGAGACAGGGAGATCGCTCTCATAGCACTGTCTCCCCTTGGGGTTAGTGCGGGAAGCTTTTATGCGGTGTGCTAGGGGGGCACGGACAGAGAGCTGGATACATTAAGAAACATACATTTTCTGGGGCGCCTGGGTGGCTCAGTTGGTTAAGCGACTGCCTTCGGCTCAGGTCATGATCCTGGAGTCCTGGGATCGAGCCCCACATCGGGCTCCCGGCTCAGCGGGGAGCCTGCTTCTCCCTCTGACCCTCTCCCCTCTCATGCTGTTTCTCTCTCTCTCAAATGAATAAATAAAATCTTAAAAAAAAAAAAAAAGAAAGAAACATACATTTTCTGCTACTTAGGCACTTTGGTTCAACTGTGCATGCTTAGCATGTCAACGTGCTAGTGCAGACATTGTAATTTCAAAAAAAATGGCAGACAAGCCCTCCCATAGGAGGAGATCTTAGTATGAGGATGAGCTAAAGGTAAATTTAGGGCAACTGAGGGGGGCTTCTGGGCAGGCACTGATTTTTGGTGTGGCTCCCGAAGAGGGTACCCAGTGGAATCCCTGGCCACACCTCTCCTCGGTGGGAGCTGTTTCTTCTGCAAAACAGACACATTCTTGCCCTGCCTTGGGAGGGAAAGAACCTGAACAGTCTGGCTCCAGGGCCTGTGCGCTTTCCCACTAGGCTATACTGCCTGAACCTGGGAGGCCTAGGGCCTGGGGCATAGAAGGCCTCAGTCAGTGTGAGGTGTGAGGTACGTTTGCCCCCGCCCCCCCCCCCATGGCTTTCAGTCCTCTGAATTGAGTAGCTCCCTCTTATGCCCCAATACCGCCAGCTAGAGAGATCTGGCCAAATCAAATCCAGTCAATATTTATTGTCTGCCAGGTGCCAGACACTGTGGACGTCAGGCTGACGATAGGTACACTGTCGAGCATAGCATAACAGAGAGTTGATGGAGTTGTCCTGGAACCGTGTCCTACACCTGAAACTAATGTGACATTGTGTGTCAGCCATACTTCAAGAAAGACAGAAAGAAAAACAGGAAGGAAGAGGAAGGAAGGAGGGAGACATGCCCCCAGAACTCAAGGTCACCCACACAGCCATCTTGCAGCGGAAGGCCAAGCGCCATTCCAGCATGCATTTCGGCACAGTGAAGAATGATTGGAAAACCGGGCCCCCTGAGTGCACGCCCAGTGGTTAGGAATGTTGATGGGTAACTCATCCGCTTGATGATGTATTCTGCAGCAATTAAAGATAATTACGACAACTTCATAAAATATGGGAATTGTTTTTGGTAACTAAAAACAGCCCAGCACAAAATTGTGCGTTGACTATGATGACAAGTAGATAAAATATGTATTCACGGCAGCAAAGACAGGAAGAAACAGGAAAATGAAAACAGCTGGTTTTTTTTTTATGGCCTCTAATTATGAGGAATTTAAAAATTTTTTTAAATGCCCATTAATGTTTCTGCGTTGGTTGTTATGATAAATAAACTTTGGGAGGAGGTCGGGGTAGGCAAATGGAGCCAAGCCACTGTCCAAGTTTGCTGCTTTCATTTTTTTTTTTTTTTTTAAGATTTTATTTATCTATTTGAGTGAGAGAGAATGAGAGATAGCACGAGAGGGAAGAGGGTCAGAGGGAGAAGCAGACTCCCTGCCGAGCAGGGAGCCCGATGCGGGACTCGATCCTGTGATTCCAGGATCATGACCTGAGCCGAAGGCAGTCGCTTAACCGACTGAGCCACCCAGGCGCCCGGGATGCTTTCATTTTGCCGGGTGCTGGAGCTGGCTTGACTTCTTGGGAAAATGTTGCTGAATGTCTGGGCCCTTAAGGAGTGGAAAGGACAGTTGTTAAGGCAAGGAGGGAACTCCCACCCCACACTGACTGAGGCCTCACACTTCTATGCCCCAGGCCCTAGGCCTCCCAGGTTCAGGCCGTGTAGCCTAGTGGGAAAGCACACGGGCCCTGGAGCCAGACTGTTCAGGTTCAGATCCTGGCTCTGCCCTTTTCTTAGCTTCCGATTGTGGTAGTGCCTACTTCATAGAATCATTGTGCTGGTTGAATGAGTTTAGTATAGATACAATGTTTAGAACGGTGCCGGGTGTATTTATGAGTTCAGTAAGTATTAGCAGTGATCATGGCCCTGTAAAGGAAGAATCATTATCCCCATTTCACGGAGGAGGTAACTGAGGTTTAAAGAAGTGAAGTGACTTGCCCAAGGCCACACAACTGTTTTAGAAGTGCATCCAGTTTCAAACTTGGGCCTCCCTGACTCCAGATGTCCTTGTCTTTCTCTCCCACCAAGCACACACTTTAGAGGCATGGTTAGGGGTTGGGGGCTTGTATATTTGTCCACTTGTCCCAGAGAGCTCTTCTCCTCAGTGAGCAAGTGTCTCCCTCTTTGACCGACCTTCAGGGGTCACCCACATGGGGTTCCCCGCAGAGCAGCGAAGTGGGAAGAAACCTTCTCAGCCTGATCCTGGCCATCCAAGACAGGGTGCGTTTGTGGCCAGCACATCGCCCTCAAAGCTCTGAAGTGAACTCCTTGTCGGTGTTCCCCAGGGGGTAGAGATCCCCGCAGAGTTCATTCAGAATCCCCTCCTTTTCCATGGTTTGGGAAATGCTGGCTATTCAGGTCCCTTTCAATCCTGAGGGTCCGTAACTTAGCATCAACACCAGCCAAGCCCACCAGCGTCTCCCAGTCTTGTCCACGTCTGCCCCACTGACCGCCTCACTTGCTGCTTTCCACAGCTCGTGGAGATCATCCTGTTCTGCTTGCTGCTGTACTTCTACAAGGAGAAGAACGCCAACAACATCATCGTGATTCTTCTCCTGGTGGCATTACTCGGTAAGTGGGGGTCTGGGTGGTTGAGTGTGGCCAGCATCCGGTAGTGCCACAAGGTCCCCGTGGACGGGACGCGGCTTCCATCAGTCCTGTCAGGCTGCTGACTGCATCCAGTGTCCTTGCTCAAATACCCAGAGTCCCCAAGTGCCAGGAACAGTGCTGGAAACCATCCACAGGGGTGAACAAGACAGACGGCCCCCTGCCTTCAGGGGGCGGGGGGGGCTCCATTCCGAAGGCAGGAACAGCCAGTAAGCAATCAGACAGATATATAGAAGAGAGACACATTGGGGCAGTGAGGATCATGGTGACAAAGAGGATAGCAGAGTGAGGGTGAGGTGGGGCAGGGAGATAGAGACGGGCAGGCTCCAACAACGGAGTCCTTAGGGTTTCAGGTAAACCTGTCAGGCTAGGAACGAGTTCTGGATTCAAAAGCAGGAACCGAGTTTACTCTCTCACTTTTTTTTTCTCTCCTCTTGGAGGGATGGGTGCAATGTGGGAGACGGCTCCTAACTCAGACCGAGGCGAGGCCTGACCCCTCACAGAATCTGACACACTCCATAGAGCTGTGAGGACCCGAGCTTCCAGGGGAAGAGGTGGGGGATGCCCTCCTGCTGCCTCCTGGGGTCTCTGTGGCCTCGGGCTGGTGACCCCCTCCTGTTTAAGCCACACTGTCTTCTCAACCTGGGCACAGGAGAATGCCCAAATCCCAGGGGGCAGAGCAGGGTTAAATGAGATGGGCATGAGTGCCCGAGATGTGTTGCTGGTCTTCTGTCCTTCCCACACCGAGCCCCCACTCCACCCCACCCCTCAGCCCTACAGATAGGGGCCGCATAGGACAAGGTTCCATTATTTTGATATTTTTAAAACAGCTTTATTGAGGGTGCCTGGGTGGCTCAGTCGTTAAGTGTCTGCCTTCGGCTCAGGTCATGATCCCAGGGTCCTGGGATCGAGCCCTGCATTGGGCTCCCTGCTCAGCGGGAGGCCTGCTTCTCCCTCTCCCACTCCCCCTGCTTGTGTTCCCTCTCTCGCTGTGTCTCTCTCTGTCAAATAAAATAAAATCTTTAGAAAAATAAATAAATAAAAATAAAACAGCTTTATTGAGATATAATTTACATACCGTAAAATTCACCTGTTTGAAGTATACAGTATAAACAGAACGCTGTAATAGGTGGCTTTTGTGACCAGCGTCTTTCAGGGAGCATAACTCGGTAGAGGTTTGTTCCTGGAGTAGCGAATATCAGTGGTCCATTCCTTGGTGATCTTGTTTTCAAAGCAGATTGGGATGTCACGGTCCCCAAATGTCCTCTCTGGCGAGTAGGGAGGCCAGAAGGTGCTAAGGAGCATTGGCCGCTCTCCCTCTGTCCCCTTCTCACTAACAGGGACACACCCTCATGAAAGTGCCTGTCCTAACTGACAGCAGATGTTTGGAAACTGTCATTGAGGTTGTGGGGGGCCCAGAAGCCGCTGTGTGTGATGAGCTGTTAGCAAGAGGGAAAACGAGCAGAAGCGGAGAAAAACAGGAAAGCCGAGCCCTTCAGCCAGAATAAGGGGCTTCATTTGTACCCGGACTTGGGGGTGGTTTCTTTTAACTCCTGCTTTGGCCGGGGAGATAGTGGAGAGGTCCGACAGTTGGCAGCCATTTCTGCACCACTGGGTAAAGCAGCAGTCTCCACGGTGAGGTGAGCTGTGATATCTCCGGCGCCTGTTTTATAATGTGCATAGCCTATAAGCACAGTGTTACATGAGTATCACTTTAAAATGCACAAACACCTGTATTTTGGAAAAGTATGTGCGTGTGCCTGGGGGTAGAATTCCCAAACATTTGGAGGTCTCTGTCTAATGAAATGTTTTTTAAAAATACAAGTGAGCGAGCATAAAAAAAAAAAAAGAGAGAGAGCGCGCTTGACACACCACATGTTTTTTTCCCTGTGATTATCATGAGAATGATCCTCAAAGGAAATTCGTGTCTCCATTCAAGGATGATTTTGACCTCCCACCATGGTCCAGGCACAGCGCTGATTACTCTGCTGTTGAGAGACTGAAACTCAACATCCTTGCTTGCTGGAGTTCAGAGGTGACACTTGGAAGCGCCTATCGGTATTTTGCTTCCCTCTCTTCTTGGACAGAGCACACGGATAGTGGGCAACTCTCAGAAGTTCCGCCTCCCGTGGCGTCTTTGACGCCCCTGGGGTGGCCCTGTCAGTGCTCCCTCCATCTTTTTCACCACGTCCTTTGGAGTCATAAACTGACCTTCAGGGTCTGATGCCCTCGCTTCGTCCTCGTTCACCCTCTGCAGGCTCCATGACGGTGGTAACTGTGAAGGCCGTGGCTGGGATGCTCGTCTTGTCCATACAGGGGAACCTGCAGCTCGACTACCCCATCTTCTACGTGATGTGCGTGTGCATGGTGGCCACCGCTGTCTACCAGGCCGCGTGAGTTGCAAAGTCTTTTCCTGCTGGGCCTCTCCACGTTTTGGGGTCTCTTCCATTTCTTGGGCCTGATTTCATTTGTTTTTGAAGCTGTAGGGAAGGCAGAACATCGAAGCACAGCCTGTCACCAGGGCTCAGCATCCACTGTGGAGAGAGGGGTCACTGATTTGCTGGGTGGTCCCATGGAGGGACTCTGTGCCTCTTGAAAGAGGAGGCCTGGAGTGGATGTGTTTTTCTCTCTGCCTCAAACTGGGAGAAGGGGCAGCCTCACTTCCCTTCTGCTCCAAGGCAGGTGTCTGTTTGAGGGACTGTAGAAGAAGCTGTGTGGTCCCCATGAGGCATCTCTTTGTTTGCCAGGTGGAAGGAACACAGCAAGTTGTCCTTTCTTGTCTGTCTCCAGGAATCTTCCCCAGAGAGTGAGAGACTCGTTTCTCTCTCAGAAGCGGTGGTCCTGAGGGTAGGCCTCGGCCTTGTTCCCATCTGAGACCTGGTCGTCCACAGAGGGCCTGGGACGGCCTGGGACGGCCCTGCTGGGGACAGGAAGGTGAACGGCGCAGGGCTCGGTGTGGCACTTGAGGCTGATTGATCCTGGGCAGGGCAGGCCCCGGGCCCCCAGCGGCCAGGGCTCACCGTCCCCCAGCGGTAGCCTCGAGCAGTTGTTGGAGTGACTGCTGCTGTGGGGGCACCAGGGGAAGCCACTCACACGCCCTGCTTTCACAGGAACTTAAATTCATTTGACCCCCCCCCCCCAGAACCCCTTTGAAGCTGATGATACCATCCTCATTTTGCATTTGAGAAACCGAAGGGGCAGGGCTGAGATGTGAACCCAGGCATCAGACTCCCCATCCCACGCCCCTCGCCCGTCGCCGCTCTGCTCCAGGCCTCTGCCTCAGCTTCTCTAGGACCAGGCTCCCTGTCCACAAGTGAGGATAACTGCAGCCCCTCCCTGAGAGAAGCATGAAGCTCTCCGTGCCGTTCCCCAGGATAACCTCCCGAAAATCTCAGCCTCTTTCATGATTAGGCCGACTACGATTATTACTGTCCTGAGTCCTACTACAGAGATTCTGGTCATCACCCCCAAGCCGTCCCAGCACCAGGCTCCGTGCTGAGCACTCCGGGGTTACAGAGGCGAGTCCAGTGCCCCGGCCACCTCCTGGGGAGCTTCTCACTCACCCAGTCAGCACACCACACAGCCACCGAGGGCCTCCTGTGTGCCAGGCCCCTGGGCCTTCCGCCACGGGGCAGGACCAATAGTCACTGTCCTCGGGGCACTGCCAGCCCTGTGAACGGATGAGTGCAGGCAAGCGGGAAGTCTGTCACGATATAAGCAACTATGTAGTAATACCTAAAATGCTCCGCAGAGAATGGACAAAGAATATATTCCGAAATGAGGGAGTGTGGATCGTAGATGGAGAGAGGAGGAATGATTCTAATTTTCTCTCTCTCTTTTGCCTGCATTTGTTGCAGTGAGCACATTATTTTTTCATTAAGAAAAAAATTTGTTTAAAAAAAATAATGACAGGGGCGCCTGGGTGGCTCAGTTGGTTAAGCGACTGCCTTCGGCTCGGGTCATGATCCTGGAGTCCCAGGATCGAGTCCCGCATCGGGGTCCCTGCTCAGCAGGGAGTCTGCTTCTCCCTCTGACCCTCCCCCCTCTCATGCTCTCTCTATCTCATTCTCTCTCTCAAATAAATAAATAAAATCTTTAAAAAAAAAAAATAATGACAGCGACAGGCAGAACGCTGTAAGTGCCGTAGAAGTTTCTTAGACTGTTTGTGAGAACAGGACGGCCCTTTGTAGGGGGGTGGGGATGCAGGGGACACCGACATGAGGAGGAGGGTATCTCGGGTGGGCGAGAACCATGTGGCAAGAGGTGTGAGACTGGGAAGGCATGGTCCCCTTGGGGAATGGCGGTGGACCTCAGGCTATGTGGACAAATGGGAGTGAAGTGTGGACCCTAACCCAGAGATGCAGCAGGGTGGCATCTTTCTTTCATGTGTTATCTTCATAGTTCAAGCTAAGCCTACTGTCACCAGCTCTCGCCTCAGCCTTTCTGACAGGCCCACTGACCAGAGTGCTCTTGTATTGAAGGTTTCTAAGTCAAGCCTCACAGATGTACGACTCCTCTTTGATCGCCAGCGTGGGCTACATTCTGTCCACTACCATTGCCGTCACAGCAGGTAAGGGTGGCGACTGCTAGATTTCTGTCTCCTACCTTAGCAGCAGCGACGTTACCCCAGTGTGGAGGGATGAGGCTCTGCCTCTGTCAGAAGGCCAACTCTGCTGACGTGTTCTGCCTGTCAGAGTTGTATATGGTTTCATGGAGAAAGTGCAGGATTTCGAGCCAGAGAGAGCTGGGCCCCAGCACAGACACAGAGCTGTGTGGCTCTAAGAAAATCACTTAACCTCTCTGAGCCTTGGTTCCACGTTCATAAAATGGGAATAACACTCACCTCCCAGAATTGAAATATGCACAACATGTACTCCCATACAGCTTGTACAAGGTTTCTTTAACAATTTTTGTCATCGTCTGCTAGCTCCACTAAGCGGCCACAGATTTCTTTCTATAATTTCTAGAGGTTAAGACTATATGAACATCTGTGACATAATAGGTAGCGAGTAACCTGTCATCATTTTTATATTCCCCTTTCTTCTACTCCACCCCTACTTTTTTTTCTTTCTCTCGGTGGCTTCAGAAGCTACAAGCATATCAGATTGTGTTTTGGTTTTTTTTTAAGATTTTATTTATTCATTTGAGACACAGAGATACAGAGAGACAGAGAGAGAAAGCATGAGCAGGGAGAGAGGCAGAGGGAGAGGGAGAAGCAGGCTCCTCGCTGAGCAGGGAGCCCGATGCGGGGCTCGATCCCAGGACCCCAGGATCATGACCTGAGCCGAAGGCAGACGCTTAACGACCGAGCCACCCAGGCGCCCCGGATTGTGTTTGTTTTTAAGGGGCAGTGAAGACGAAAATCTTCAAAGTGAAAAGACCAGTAAGAGCCAGTGCGCCTCCCTTTGAGGAAAGCCTGGCTGTACGGCTGTGTGTTTTGCGCTTCAGACGAGCGCTGCTCGCATCCTGCCCGTAGAGATGGGAGCCCGGTAGGCACACAGCCTGCCAGGGCCTGTGTGATGAGCAGACCCGGGGATCCAGTGGGGCGTCCACCCAGAGCAGCCAAAAAGTGAACCCAGCGTGAAGATTTAAGTCCTGGTCAAGAACTTGGGTCCAGGCAGGGTTGAAAGGAATAGCCAACAGCACGATGGAGTCAGAAGCTAGGTGGGGATCAGGAGCTCAGGAATACAGCAAGAAGCCCATGGAGGTGCAATGAGTCCAGACAGAGGCTGCTGCAGGGCAGGTGAGGGTGGCAAGCCCGTGTCACTCCCGCCTCTGGGAGCGGGCTGCAGGCCTGCCGTCTGCTGGCCACGCGAGGTTAGAAGGCTATGACGGCTTAACTCGAAGCCTTGCTTTTCCATCTTAAGAAAGACTGGAGAGCGGCACTTGGGTGGCTCCGTGGCTTAAGCGTAGGACTCTTGATTTCGGCTCAGGTCCTGATCTCAGGGTTGTGGAATCAAGCCCCGAATCAGGCTCTGCGCTGAGCACGGAGTCCACTTGGGATTATCTCTCTCTCTCTCTCTCTCCCTTTGCCCCTCTCGCATCCCACTCCCTAGCTTTCTCTCTCTAAAATAAATAAATAAATCTTAAAAAAAAAAAAAATACTGGCGAAGGGGGTTGTGTAAAAACTGGCAAATAAGGTCTGCAGTTTAGTTCTCAGTATGTTTCATTGGGAGGAGGCTGGGTGCAGGGTCCATGTGAACTCTGTACTATTTTTGTGAGTCTAATATTATCTCAAAAAGAAAAGAAAAAGATGGAGATAAAAGGGGTATAGGAGGAGAAAGAGAAGATAATCTGTTCCCCCAGATGACTTGTATTCCACTCTTCTAACACGTACCCTGCTGGTCATCAGGCTCCTGACCGCTTTGGTTCCCTGCAGGGAAGAGAGCTTAGCCAAATCATAGACAGACTGGCAAGAAGGTGATTTGAAAGCAGCTCACCCGTATTGGCTATTTTCTGCCTTTCCAGGTGCAGTGTTTTACCTGGACTTCACTGGGGAGGACGCGCTGCACATCTGCATGTTTGCACTGGGGTGAGTCCCTGCTTTCTGGCCCTGCTACTGCTCCTGCCTCTCAGGCAGTCTTCTAGAGCCCAGGGAGCAGCCAGAATTCAGAGCTTTGTCCCCCAGAGATGAATGAGCATTTTACTCCCCAAAGGGCTTTATCTCCTTCCCCCTTCTTCTCTTTTGGGCTTTAATCTCCTTGTCATTTCTAAAATATCCCACTTTGGGGCGCCTGGGTGGCTCAGTTGGTTAAGCGACTGCCTTCGGCTCAGGTCATGATCCTGGAGTCCCGGGATCAAGTCCCGCATCGGGCTCCCTGCTCAGCGGGGAGTCTGCTTCTCCCTCTGACCCTCCTCCCTCTCATGCTCTCTGTCTCTCATGGTCTCTCTCGCAAATAAATAAAATAAAATCTTAAAAAAAAAACTTAAAAAAATTAAAAATTAAAAAAATTTAAAAAAAAAGGAGTGAAGGTCTGATGCTTGCTACAACATGGGTGGACCTTAAGAACATTATGCTAGGGGAAAGAGGCCAGTCACAGAGGGCCGCATGCTGTATAATTCCATTCATGGATGTCCGAAACAGGTAAATCCATAAAGACGGAAAGTAGATTGGTAGTTGCCTAGGGCTAGGGTTGACGGAGGGGGATAATTGGGGATCAGAGAGGGGAGTCACTGCTAATGAGTACAGGTTTCTTTTTAGGGGGATAAAAATGTTCTAAAATTAATTGTGGTGAGGGTGCCTGGGTGGCTCAGTCGGTTAAGCATCTGCCTTCAGCCCAGATCATGATCCCAGGGTCCTGGGATTGAGCCCCCTATCAGGCTCCCTGCTCAGCAGGGAGTCTGCTTCTCCCTCTGCACCCCCACCCTCCACCACTCCCGCGAGCACGCGCAAGCACGCTGTCTCTCGCAAAAATAGTCTTTTAAAAAGTACAATTAGGGCGCCTGGGTGGCTCAGTTGGTTAAGCGACTGCCTTCAGCTCAGGTCATGATCCTGGAGTCCCGGGATCGAGTCCCGCATCGGGCTCTCTGCTCGGCGGGGAGTCTGCTTCTCCCTCTGACCCTCCTCCCTCTCATGCTCTCTGTCTCTCATTCTCTCTGTCTCAAATAAAAAAAATAAAAAAAAATAAAATCTTAAAATATCCCACTTTGACACATGAAAAGACTCTCAGCCTCACCCCGGATCACAGAAATGCATTTTGAAACCGCATGAGATTGCCATCATTTTGCAAAAACTCACAGGATTCGTAGTATCCGTGTTGGCAAGAGGACGAGGAGACCAGCTCTCGCCACACCGAAAGGATCTGTGATGCCAGAGGACAGTTTAGCAATGTCAGTAAAAATTATAAATGAGCAATGTTTGATGCAGCCTTCCAAACGGGACACAAAGACACATGTATGAGGCTGTCTATTAATTTAAAAATTAATTGTAGGGGCGCCTGGGTGGCTCAGTCGTTAAGCGTCTGCCTTTTCGGCTCAGGTCATGATCCCCGGGTCCTGGGATTAAGTCTCGCACCGGCTCAAGTAAATAATCGGAAGTAGCATAAACGCCCAGCAGTAGAATGTCGGTTAAAGAAATTACGGTAGGGGCGCCTGGGTGGCTCAGTTGGTTAAGCGACTGCCTTCGGCTCAGGTCATGATCCTGGAGTCCCGGGATCGAGTCCCACATCGGGATCCCTGCTCGGCGGGGAGTCTGCTTCTCCCTCTGATCCTCCCCCTCTCATGCTCTCTGTCTCCCATTCTCTCTCTCAGATAAATAAATAAAATCTTTAAAAAAATAAATAAATAAAAAATAAAAAAAAAGAAAAGAAATTACGGTATATCCATATAATAAAGTACCGTGCTGCCATTTTGAAAAATTGAGGCCAGTCTAGAGATACTGGCATAGAACCATGTCTAGGATACATTAAATGGAAAAAGTTACATTTTTTAAATGTATAGTCTACCCTATGATCTAGCAGTTCCACATCCCAAAAGAAATGAGTACGTATATTGACAAAATGACTTGTACCTGAATGTTTGTAGTAGCTTTATTCATCATATGCTCAAATTGGTTACAACCCAAATGTCTATCGACAGGAGAGTGAAAAACAAATGATGTAGTATATTCGGACAATGGATTCAATATAATAATTAAAAATAATGAACTACTAATACATACAATAAAGTGAATGAACCTTAAAAATACTTACAAGTGAAAGAAACCAGACAGAGTACACGCTGTATGATTTAACTTATAAGAAGTTCAAGAACCGGATGCGGTGCCTGGGTGGCTCAGTTGGTTAAGCGTCCGACTCTTGGTTTTGGCTGAGGTTGTGATCTCAGGGTGCTGGGATCGAGCCCCACATCGGGCTCCGTGCTCAGCATGGAGTCTGCTGAAGATTCTCTCCCTCTCCCTCTGCCCCTCCTCTCTCTCTCTCTCTCTCAGATAAATAGACTTTTTTTTTTTTAAGATTTTATTTATTTGACAGAGAGAGACACAGCGAGAGAGGGAACACAAGCAGGGGGAGCGGGAGAGGGAGAAGCACGCTTCACGCGGAGCAGGGAGCCCGATGCAGGGCTCGATCCCAGGACCCTGGGATCACAACCTGAGCCGGAGGCAGATGCTTAATGACTGAGCCACCCAGGTGCCCAAATAGATAGATCTTTAAAAAACAAAATAAAATAAAAAAGAAGTTCAAGAACAGGCAAATCAAGTATTGGATGAGAGTGGTCAGTGGTTTCCTCCCGGTTAGCATGGATTGGGAGGGGCACAAGGAAGCTTTCTGGGGTGGAGGGATGGAAATGTCTTCTCTGCTGACTTGTGTGGTGATCACAAGAGTTTACACACAGGTAAAATTCTTTAAGCACCACATTTAGGGTTTGTGCATTTTACTGCATGTGAATTACACCTCGGTTTTTAGAAAGTGTGCTTATTTAAGCTCTAGGGAAAAGAAAAGAAAAAAAAGACTCTAGAAGAATATACCCCTACCTGGAGGAGTGGGACTAAAGGGAGTTTAGGAATTTTCTAACTTTTTCTTTCTCTCCTCCTGTATTGATTGAATTTAGGCCATAAAGAACTTTTATTAAAAAATACATTTATATATTTTTAAAGGTTTTATTTATTTATTTGAGAGAGAAAGAATGAGACAGAGAGAGCATGAGAGGGAGGAGGGTCAGAGGGAGAAGCAGACTCCCCGCTGAGCGGGGAGCCCGATGCGGGACTCGATCCCAGGACTCCAGGATCATGACCTGAGCTGAAGGCAGTCACTTAACCAACTGAGCCACCCAGGTGCCCAAAAAATATATATTTTTTAAGGTGAAGTTCTAAGATACAGGCTAAATGGAAGTAAAGAGCCGTGGGAATTTTGCCCAGGAGAGTCTAATTTATTCTGATTAATGCAGTGCCGCATGAAAAGCGTGTGAGGCTGTTCCTTATCTCCTTTCTGCTCCCTGCCCATCTCAGGCCCGGCAGCCTCCTGGCACTGCTCAGCAGCAAGCCCCCCTCTGCAGCCTGCAACCTCTTTTTCTCTTTTTCCCATTACCCGGGTTGGAAAGTGAGCCCTCCTGCCCTCACTCTGGCCTTTTTTCTCTCCCTCCCTTATCCCTGTTCCTCAGGTGCCTCATTGCATTCTTGGGTGTCTTCTTAATCACACGTAACCGGAAGAAGGCCATTCCATTTGAGCCCTATATTTCTATGGATGCCATGCCAGGTAACGTTAAAACCCCATGTGTCCCCCTGGCCAGCCCATCCGTATAGAATGACTGCTACTTCCTATTCAAAAAGAGACACCTAGCTGCTGGGTTTGGTACAGGGAAGGTGTGCTGTGCCATTATGGTGTGACCGTCTCTCTCTCTCCCTCCCTCCCTCTCTTTTTTTTTAAATTTCGCTGTGCCAAATAGGAGGCGGTGATTGAGGCACCTCCGTTGGTTTTGAGCCCATCTTGCCAGTCCCCATGTCTATTTTGGGATCTCTGAAAGACCGTCCTGATTCGCACTGGATATAATTATGATCTATACGTCAGGCTTCATGCCTGCAAAAGGAAAAAAATCCATTCATCAAGTTGGAATGGAATGACCGGAGAGGGGAAGGAAAATAGGATGGATGAAATTGAGACTATCGCCTCACTTCTTAGATGCCACGAGAGAGTGGATTGTTCTGGAAAGCCTAATTTCCCAAGGAGCTGGGGGTTCACACTGAGAAGCACAGGCTCAAATGCCTTTAGTTCGTGATGGTAACAAAGGTGTGAATCCGCAGAGCACTGCACAGAAGGGAGTGGGGGGCGTTTGTGGAGAACCAGAGAGTCCCTGCCCAGCCTAAAGGGACCCAGATTAGGAAAGTTAATCCAGGTTTGCTGACCTAAATTCTATAGGTTGCCAGTGACCACTAGCTCCCACTCTTCAAGGCAAAATTAATTTTTATTTTAGATCTAAAGATGGAACTCTCTCTAGGACATAATCCCCACCCTTCATTAAGACACCCTAATGAGCAAACTATAACCCCACTGACGGCATACAGTACTGCTTATTGAAGTCCTCTGGGATGCAGGTGTGCACTCAGGGCCAACTGAGGTGCCCCTACTTTAAATGGCCCCAAGGTTTCTGTGTCTACTTTTATATTATTTCCTCATCCCTTGCTATCAAGCTGTCGTCTGTCATTCATGCTCTTACCAGCCCACCTGTGTATAGCAATTCCGGGTCAAACGTCTCATTTGACCCAACTTGTTTGAACTGTGTATAAAATTAGAATAAACAAGCTCTGAGTCGGGGCCTCAAGCTTTTCTCCTAGGAGTTAAGTGCATGAGCTTTAGTGCATGGACTTTTAAGACATCTAATCTGGCTGCTCAGATGCCTTTTTTGCTTACTTCCTTGTTTCTCGGCTGTGTCCCGGATAGATGAGGGCGCTGGATAGCTGAATTCCAGATAGGTGAGGTGTCAACTCTGTGTGTGCAAGTATGTATATGTATCTGTGTGTTTGTGTGTTTACAAACTGTGTATGTGTATATATCTACATAAGTATTTGTATATGCATATATACAGATGTACGTCCCAGTGGAAAATAGAAGGTAACCTAAGGTAACCTTAGATACCTACATTCTGTGGTCTGTTCGTGGATGTGGCTCTCGGCTTCGTCTTTGTACCTTGTGACCGGTGGGAAGTCAGATCTTGACAAAAGGAAACCCCACCCTACTGCTGTGGCACGTCAGGACACTTGGGAGTAGACGTGTTCTGTACAATGAAAAGCGTGGGCTTGGAGTTCAGGTGGCCTGGATTCAAATCCCATCTCTACCACCCACCCGCAGCGTGACCTTGGGCATGTCCTTGGACCTCCCAAGGCCTCTGACCCTCACTTGTAAATTGGGATTCCTTCTTTCGGGATAGTGGGATAATATGTTAAAGGCCCCTTGCACAGTGTTTGGGACTTGGTAGATGCCTGGTTAAATTTGGTTTCACGTCCCTTTTGCTTTAAAAAAAAAAAAAATCTTCGAAAATTTCAAACACTTGTTTGACCTGATGCCAGGTAGAACATGAAAAATAAAACTGCTTAAAAAGAGGGGGGTGCTTGGCTGGCTCAGTCGGAAGAACATGGGTCTCTTGATCTCGGGGTCATGAGTTCAAGCCCCACATTAGGTGTAGAGATTACTTAAATAGATTTTTTTTTTAAACTTTAGAAATCAATTAATTAACTAATTAAAATTAAAAAATAAAACTGCTTCAATAGAGTGTCTTTCCTAGCTACTTGGTTTCCCTGGTCAGCACTAGAACCTTGCTTTTGGTCCATCTAGATTGATAGCTTCACAACAGACCAGTAGCTACAGTTCAAGAGGCATTCAATTTCCAAAAAATGCACTGCATGTCACAATGTAGAGAGGGCTTAAATAATTCTAGCACCTGAAAGACTTCTAAAAAATGAAAACCGAAAAAGCCCTGAGAGCTGGGAGCTGGCCTGGCACTCACATCTGGACCTCGGTGCCCCCTGGCTGAAAAGAAACAGCTCCCTGGCACATCAGCCTCCGACAGGGGCACTCCGACCATGATAGATCTCCTCAACTGTAAGTAGAAACCCAGCAGCAACACGTGCCCAGAAGCAACAGGGAGAATCACACCTCCCCTCTCTGCGGATCCGCGATGTTCAGTGTTAAAGGTCAAAACTCTCCCTCTGAGTGTCACAATGCATCTGCCACCACCACATGTCCATGACACGAAGGTTACCCTCTTTTCTCGAGGGGATAATGATCCCGATTTAATTCAGCAGGCGAGTATTGGCATCTACCACGTTCAAAGCACAGTGCTGGTTCTGCTCCCCGAGGGGCCCAAACACACATTCCCACCTCATTCTTTGCCAACCCATGCTTCTCTTGACAGTGGCTGGTCTGTGTGCATATTTCCTGAAGATTCATCCCTTGTTGCTTGGCAACCATAATATTGCTAGCATATACTTATGAGTGTTCTTTTTTCAATCGAAAGCATTCAGGAGATGGGCAGGGCACGTGATTAGCGCCCGAGCGCTGTAATTAGGCTGTGGTGGGGTAGAGGAAGATGCAGTCTGCTTTGGCCCCTTTGCCCCATAATGATTTGGAGAAAATGGATTTCATTTCAGGTATGCAAAACATGCATGACAAAGGAATGACGGTTCAGCCTGATCTCAAAGCTTCTTTTTCCTATGGGGCCCTGGAAAACAACGACAACGTTTCTGAGATCTACACTCCTGCCACACTGCCAGTCATGCAAGAGGAACACAGCTCCGGGGGTGCCTCTGGGGTTCCCTACCGAGTCCTGGAACACACCAAGAAGGAATGAGCCCACCTTGAAGGAGACTCTCCTTCCCTCCATTTATAACTCTCAAGCCGAGCCGACAGTGGTTCAACCCTGAATTCTAAAGTTTGCCTTTCAAGTCTTATTTTTCTAAACAGAGAACTCTCTAGAAGGGGATCTCGAAGAGCCTTTGTCTCTGGCAAAGAATCCATTATCTTGGTCTCGGAGATTTCAGATGACCGGGGTGGGGGGGATGGAAGCAGTATTCTCTGGGTGGCGGGGGCGGGGGGGGTGGCTGCGGAGTTCAGACTCTGCCTGGTTCTGCCCAGCCAGCTTGGGAAAGCCGTCCTCATCCCTGACGATGACAACTGAGCTTCCTCCGGCAGTGACCAACAGTTGCCACATTCCTCGGAGCTGAGGCAAGGCAGAGATTCTGCTCTCACTTTCCACATCCAGTGAAAGGCTAGAGACCTCTGAATGTAGTCTTCCCTTGCCTGACCCTCCCCATCTCACTCATAGTTCCAGATTTCCAGTAACATCTGAGTTGTCATCACAAGGCATAGTAGGCCAGCCCCTGGGAACACCCTATCATTCACCTGTGGGAAAGGCACTTCTGCCTTCCAGTTGTCTGTGTCCTTCCAGTGAAAACATGTCTGGTGTGTTTATATTAGATCTCTGAAAACTAATTTGGTTTGGTTCTGTGAACTATGTAATGGCTTTTCTCCCCCCCCACCCCCCACCCCCCAGGAACTGAGAAGTTAAGAGTAAGAAGGAAATAAGGACAGGAGCAGGGGTAATGATACGTTAGCCCATAAAGGAAGAAAAATCCCTTTTCATCTTACAAAAGGTGATTGCACCACTTATAATATAAAAGGATAGGCAGAAAATCGGGCTGTTTCATGTGTGTATTCCTGCACACCAGTGCCCTCTAGGAAGCTTAGGGGTGCTTACTGCAGAGACAGCCTCCATCATTCTCCCTCCGTCAAACCAAACTTGAATTATTGGCTCATTTCCTTCGAGTTGACCTCGACTCTTCGGGTCGTCATTCCCATGTGCATATGTCTGGGAAAGTGGGCATTCTTGGTAAGAGGTTGCTGCTTTGTTCAGGCTGCATACGTGACTGTCCTCCCCCAAAACTGATTATAGACTTCTGAGAATGGCAAGTAAGGGTTTGCAAACTTGAGCATAAGGATCCCCTAGGGAGTGTGTTTAAAATGCAGATTCCTACACCCCAAGCACAGATCCTCTGTGGGAATGACAGGGAGGAGCAAGAGTCCACATTCTTGACTGGCAGCAAGGTCATTCGGATGCAGGCAATCCAAGGATCACACACCTTGAAAGCCTAATAACTGGGCTGCGAAAACCTCCAGGGGCCAACACACCCCTGCTGGAAAGTTGCAATTACCCTAACTTGTTTCCTGTCTGGGCTTCATGTAGCAGGTCAAATAATTCCCATAGGATCCGTGGCATTTATCCATCCCGTGATTCCTGCTTAGAACTACGCTTAATGTTCCCCTAGGCACTCTTTATCTAATAGGCAAGATAACAATGTTAATAGACCAGTGTCGATAGATCATTAACCTTTACGGATTGTGCTTAATACCGATTTACTACCTTGACTTCGAAAACTGGCATCTGTTCTTGTGATAACCACTTCGGTATTGTGTCTTACGTGCCTAAGAAGGCAGCAGACAATGACCTTTTTTCTTCAGGATACATTCAACAATATTTGTGACACATTTGCTGTGTGTTAGTAAGCATTTGGATGGGGGCGCCTGGGTGGCTCAGTTGGTTAAGAGTCTGCCTTCAGCGCAGTCCCATGTCAGGCTCCCTGCTCAGGGGGGCGTCTGCTTCTCCCTCTCCTTCTGCCGCTCCCCACCCCCAACTTGTGTGCGTGCTCTCTCAAATGATGGGTAAAATCTTTTTAAAAAATAAATATAATGGGCGCCTGGGTGGCTCAGTTGGTTAAGCGACTGCCTTCAGCTCAGGTCATGATCCTGGAGTCCCGGGATCGAGTCCCGCATCGGGCTCCCTGCTCGGCGGGGAGTCTGCTTCTCCCTCTGACCCTCCTCCCTCTCATGTGCTCTGTCTCATTCTCTCTCTCTCAGATAAATAAAAAATAAATATAAATAAGCTTTTGGCCGGTGAAGGCTACAAAGAACAGCAGTGGTCTCTGCCCTGCAGACCCGCAGAGGAAGACACGTACCCGGGAAACCACAGCAGGGTGGGCCATGAGAGGTGCATAGAGCAACCATGGGCCACGGGAAAAGGACGGTTAGGGGAGCCCTGCTAAAGGTCAGGCCCTAACCCAGAACAGGGTATTCAGAATTGAAGATGATTTGGGGGCACCTGGCTGGCTCAGTCGGTAGGGCATGGGACTCTTAACCTCAGGGTCATGAGTTCAAGCCCCATGTGTGGTGTAGATTTTACTTAAAATAAAAATGTTTTTTAATTAAAAAATAAAAAGAATTAGAGATGATCTGGGCTTCACCCATCAATGGGGGCAAATCTGATTTGAGCAAAGCATAGAAAGTAGGGTGACCACACACACCCCCAGTCAGAGGGGCTAGCATTTGCAAAGGCACGGAGATAGGGAGTAGGTGTTGGCAAAGAAAGGAGAGGTAGAGAGGGTGATGAGAAATGAGCCTGGAAAGATAAGCAGCGAACGCCGAATCACCAAATCACAGAGGCCTTGAATGCCTGCTGGAGGAGCTCAAGGTGTGTCTTAGAGAGCGTGGGAGCCATTGATGATTCCTAAGGAAGAGAATGGCAGGATCAACACTGATTGGAAAGGGGGCTTTATGCAGAGTATAGAGAATCTGAAGGGATAATAAAAGTCACTTTTCAAGGTCAGGCTGTAGGCCCACCAGAACAAAACACAAAAGGGGAATTAAAATCTGGTTTTGCTGCTATTCAGATTTTCCAAGTCATTTTTCTAAGGTGGGCGGGGATGAGGTATGAGGGCAGAGTGGATAAATGGAAGATGAACAAGGAAGCCGTTTCAATGTGTCAGACCCAGGTGATCATTTTGGGGTTTTATGGGCTCCCAACCTCACTCTGCACCTTCCCTTTTTTGGTCATGCACCTTTTAGTCTCAAGCCAGGCAAGGATGAGACGAGTGGATAAAAGTGCATTATAGTTTCAGGTCAGCTGGCTGTCGTGGTTTCAGTGCCACCAGCCCCTGCCTCTGGGCCCTGGGCCGCCTCTGCCTTCAGGTTGGGGGCGATGGCATTGTGCTATGAAGCTGAGCCACAGGAAGTCTGAGCAGAGAGCACTGGACAGTTTCCTGAGTAGAAGCCAGGGGTAGGCACCTGGGTACTCTGGAAGAACAGCTGATGTGGAGCCTTGGGCTCCAGAGTTCTGAATCTGTCTTGGGCTATCTTCTCCCACCCTTTGTCCCCACGTGTAAATGGACTGTTTGCTGGTGGCACTTGCTATTAGGATTGGGGAGGGGGGCGGCAATCAACTTTCATCTATTTTTTTCTCTTGGCTCTGACATTCCCCAAGCCCTCTTGAATGTTCCAAGCCACATTAAGTAGCATGCCTCTCTGTCCTTCCTAGCAGCCAGTACCTAAAGCAAGGTCACCAAACTTGGGTTTAAACTTCCCGTTGTTCCCTGGTCTTCCTCTCCCCACTCCAGTCTGTCCCCCTCTTCTAAAGACTGGGACTCTGGGTTCTCTAATCAGACATTAGAACCAGTGAACCAGTTGAAAGACTGGTGCCTGTGGGCTTTGATGAGAGCTCAGCCCCTCCCCCAGACCCCTCCCCTCGAAGCTGCAGGTCTGATGAGGCCATTGCATTAAGCTTCAGGTCACATGGGGTTGATTTCTGGGGAGGGAAGGGAGGACCGATGTTTCCACTGATTTTCTGGTGGAAACCAGCCAGCTTGATGGTACTGTGTGTATACAAGACATCCATCAGGGTAGTGTTAGAGACCCTCCACCCACACTCTCGTGAATTCCATATCTGGCCCAACGGTGGTTGTTAGGCAAAAAAAATGAACTGCGTGTTTCTCTGAGAAGCTGCATAAATGAACTCGCCTTAGAATATACTCTATGTGGATGCTTATATTTTGTTAACTCCATGACTGATATAGCATGTCTTATTTTTCAAAAAATGTGTGTGTTAGGTGCAAATAATATTATGAAGTGGTATTTAATTAAAAAAAAAATCCATGTGATACCTGTTTAGTTCGAGTCTTATGTTTGGCTAATACTTTCTAAAGTTGTCTGGAATAGTGCTCTCTAATAGAACTTTGAGCAGTGCTGGACCAAGAGACCAGTGTAATGAGAGAAGATTCTCGTCGCAGGGGAAAAACATTGCCGGCTGCCTTCTCCTGTTGACGCTGAAATGTGAATCCTCAACAGTGCACCCTAGAAACATTCGTGCACTTAATTCTCAAGATTACTTTATAAGTTAAAAAAAGGACAAAAACAAAAAAAACCACAAAGCCCATCTTTAACTCTCCAAAAGCCGGTTTGCCATGAAAACAACAGGACCAGAAATCTATCTTAGCAGCTGTCCCTCACACTCTGTGTGATCTGTGTAAGCATCCCAGAATGATTCCGGCAACTAGGTAGCTGTCGTATCCTTTTACCAAAATGTCACCTTCTATCAAAATGTTCAAGTCACTGATACTTCCCCTCACATGAATGACACTAAGTGTCTGCATGTGTTTATACACATTTGTGTTTCCTTTTCTGTGAACTGTCCACAGTCTTGGCCCACATTCTATGGCTCTGTGAGTCTCTGCCTCGAACATGCAATTTGTATTTTGCATTGATTAACCCCTTCTTTGGGATGTGAACTGCAAATATTCCCCAAACTTTGTTATTTACTTTTTGATTTGCTTATAGTATTTTTTTTTTGCTATGAGAAAATCTTTTTATGTATTTTATTTTATATATAATCCAATTATGTCTATAAAATATGTTCTTTTAGGGGCACCTGAGTGGTGCAGTCGGTTAAGCGTCTGACTCTTGGTTTCAGCTCAGGTTGTGATCTCAGTTTTGTGGGCTCGAGCCCAATGTAGGGCTCTGTGCTCAGCGGGGAGTCTGCTTGGGATTATCTCCCTCCTTCTGTCCCATCCCTCCCACTCCTCTCTCTCTCTAAAAAAACCTTTAAAAAAATTTTTTTGGGGCGCCTGGGTGGCTCAGTCGTTGAGCGTCTGCCTTCGGCTCAGGTCATGATCCCACAGTCCTGGGATCGAGTCCCACATCGGGCTCCCTGCTCGGCGGGAAGCCTGCTTCTCCCTCTCCCACTCCCCTGCTTGTGTTCCTGCTCTCGCTGTCTCTCTCTGTGTCAAATAAATAAATAAAATCTTTAAAAAAAAAATTTTTTTTAATGTTCCTTTATATATAAGTATTTTATAAACATAATTGAATTGAGATGCCATTTCTGTAATATTTTAAATTTCTGTATTGTTCTGGACTCTCCACTCTGTTCCACTGAACCGTCTGCCTATCCATTCACCACTAATATACTGTTTAAATTATTGACGGTTTTAACTGAGGTTGTGCTTCAATATCTAGGGGGGCAAGTCTCCACTCGTTGTTCTTATTCATACTTCTTATTTTGTCAAATAAGGACACTGAAAAGAAAAAATACCCTACTGTACTATTATTTCATTAAAACAGGGCGTTGACACCAAAATGGTTAAGAAGGGCAAAATCTCACGATAAAGGATAATCCTTTAAGTTGAATAATTTAGGTTTATGAAAAATGTAGGAGAGTGTCATTATTTGCCTCATTTTGCCACAGGCCCATAAGATGACACCGGCGTTGGGGAACTAGACTTGGTTTGATTGTGACTCAAATGTGGGATTACACGTCAGAAAAGGGGGGTGCACAGAGGGGTTCGCTGGCCAGTTAGCTGCAGGCGCGGGACTAGAACCCAGGTCTTCGGATCTCCAGCCTCTTCCTCTTCCACTGCACCACTAAGCCTACGCTCTACGTCCATTTACTGAGCTTGTCCTCTAACCACATCGCTTCGGTCCCCTCCCACAACAGCTCTGCAAGGAAGCTGCTCAGTCCTTGTTTGACAAACACTGAAACCGAGGCTCAAAGAAGTTCAGCAATCTGCTCAGGGCCACTTGGTGTGTATGGGGCAGAGCCTGGATTCAAACCCAGCTATAACGGACTCCAGAGTTTCTCTGGATATTTTAAATCCAGTCCTTGATATATCAATAGATGATAATTCTTTTACTTCTCAATCTTTATTCACTGTTTAGCACAGAATGTAACTGTCTCTGAGTCTGGGGTAGCATAAGAGCATCGGCTTGTCCATCTTCCCGGTTGCCTGGGATACGCCATCTTTCTTTCCCTTGGTGCACTTAGTACCTAATTTCTTAGGAAGCTATTGAATCAATCAGGGTCCAGTCAGGAGACAGAAACCACACCCATTACTGGAACAGAGAATTTAATAGAAAGAATTGGTAAGTAAGTAACTGAAAGGTATGGAGAGGATAATAAGGCGTCATAGAGGCAGCAACCATAAGAAGCAGCTCCCACCCCAGGGCTGAGGGAAGATGAGGAAGACGTTGGAATTATTAAAACTTAGATGTTCTGTCTAAAGGAGGGGCCCTGTGAAGCCGAACCTCAGGGGTGCTGAAACCAAGGCTGGCCGTGTACTCTGGGTTGGAGGAGAGGTCCGATGGAATTGGAACCCGACCCACGAGGCCATAGACAGCCCCAGCTCGCTTCCTCAGAGATAAAAAAAAGAAAAAAAATCACCCCTCACATTCAGGGGATAGTAGGCCTTGGTTTGGGTAAACAGACCCACACAACTGCAAAGGAAGACCACACCAGCTCTCTATAGTAAGCAATACAGTTCTTTATTCCTAACTGGGGGCTGTCTACCAAGAATCACAAGGCATTTGAGGAAATCCATCAGCATACTGAAAGACAAATGAGTGAGATGAAACAGAAAACGTAGGATAATGTAGACAACGAGGGCCATGGTCCACAAGGGTTGTCTGAATTATCATCTCGATTTTTATGTATACTTGAAATTTTCATAATAAAAAGTGGGAAAAAATTTTTGGAAAAGTGTTTTTGAGCACTGATTATGTGCTAGGTATCTACATACAGCAATGAACAAAAGAGGGACTCCATGCAAAGGAGTCCGAGCATGAGGCACACAGTAAAGGTGTGAGGATGTTAGAATGCAGGGAGCCATGAGGAAATCCCACAGGGTCAGGACTAAGGAGGAGGTGAGAGAACCAGGGAAGGTGGTGGAAGCATGGAGGGTGGCCCCAGAGCCTGGGCCTAGTGTGACCCGGTGCCCAGGGTGGGCCATGAGGAAAGAAAAGAGTTCAAGAGAAGGCAGAGAGACCAAGAACTTTTCAATCCAAACTAGGATAGCTGCAGAGCCAGCTCCCCAACTTCCGGGACCCGGCACAAAGTGAAAATGCAGGGACCCCTTGCTCAAAGAGCAGGAGAATTACCGTCAAAGGGACAATTTTTTGCCGTTCATTTTTCATTCCATGCAATACCCATGTTAAATGCAAAGAGAAGAGCACTTCCCTCGTATGGGAATCACTGATATTATACAATTTGTATTTCATAGCTTATACATGAAGATGTAATTTATTCTTATCAGGGCAGCGGAAACCCTGCACAAAACGAATTCAACTGTTGGTATGTTCGTTTGTTGATAGGCACACATCCTATGCCTTTGTGAGTGGGATTAGCGCCCTTACAAGGAGAGGCCGGAGAGCCGGCTCGCTCTCTCCCCACCATGTGAGGGTACAGAAGACAGCCATCACCAGAAAGAGGGCCCTCATCAGAACCCGACCACGCTGGCGCCATGATCACGGGCTTCCAGCCTCCAGAACTGAGAAATCAATGTCTGTTGTTGATAAGCCACCCGGTTTATGGTATTTTATTATAGCAACCAGAACCTATTAAGACAGCAAGTCATTAAGCTATTTTCTCTCAGCTCCAAACCTGCCCTTCGAGGGGATGGCATTGGGATGCTGGGGCTGAAACTCGGCAAGCCACCCTTCCGCCAAGCCAGCTGCTCCCTGGTCACTTGTGAGGGGGACGGTGAGGCTGCAGGAGGAAGGGGCTCGCTCCTTCCTGTCTATTTCCTGTCCCTATGCACATCTCCCAGTGACACTCCCTCGCCTCGGAGAGCAGCAGTGGAGTCTAGTTTTGAGTTCTTTCCAACCCTGGCACAACCAGCTTCGTGGCCCCCACTCCTCAGAGACGTCAGCATGCACTCCCCAAGGTCGGGGCCCCCCCCTCTTGCTTTTTCTCAACAGCTTTATTGACATAATTCACACACCATGCAACGCGCTCTTTAAAGTATGTAACTCAATGGTTTTTAGTATATCCACAAATACGTGTAATTGTCACCACAGTCCCTTTGAGAACATTTTCATCTCCTTGAAAAGAAACGAACAGGCGTCGGCGAGGATGTGGAGAAGTGGGAACCCTCGTGCACTGGCCAGGGGAACGTAAAATGGCGCAGCCACTGTGGCAAACAGTGAGGTGATTTCTCACAAAACTAAAACTAGATTACCGTATGATCCAGAAAGGCCACTTCTGGGCATGTACACAAAAGAACTGAAAGCAGGGACTCATCTATGAACACACCCATGTTCAGAGCAGCCTTCTTCACGAGAGCCTAAAGATGGAAGCAGCTGTAGCTGCCCATCAGCGGATGAATGGATAGACAAGATGTGTACGCATGGGCAGATTATTCAGCCTTAAAAGGAAGGACATACTGACATGCGCTAGCACATGGCCAAACCTTGAGGACAGTATGCTGAGTGAATAAGCCAGACACAAGAGGACAAATCCTGTGTGATTCCGCTAATACGAGGAGCCGCTAATCCACCTTCTATCCTTATAGACTTGCCCCTTCCGGACTTTCACATGAATGGAACCATACAATGTATGGACTTACATGACCGCCTTCTTCCACTCAGCATAATGTTTCCATGGTTCATTCAAGTTGTGGCATGTATCAGTACTTCATTCCTTTTTATGGCTGAATATCCTCTTACCCTGTAAGTTTTAATAAGTACAACCTCTTCCCTTGGTTCCTTTCGTCCTGGGAATGGTAGCTGCTTCCCTGCAGTTGCTAACACCATGATCCCTTTGAGTTCCTTTTACCTGTTAGGTGACTAGTTAATAACCTTCTATCTAGATAATAATTCTATTTTTTAAGATTTTATTTACTTATTTGAGAGAGAGAAAGAGCACAAGCAGGGGGAGGGGTAGAGGGAGAAGCAGACTCCCTGCTGAGCAGGGAGCCCAACTAGGGGCTCGATCCCAGGATCCTGGGATCATGACCTGAGCCGAAGGCAGACGCTTAACTGACTGAGCCACCCTAGCGCCCCAGCAATTCTTTATATTAAATTCTTTTTGTTCAAATCACTGTTGTGATTTCTGTTCCCTGATCAAACCTTGACTGATAGTCAAGAAAAATTAAAATAATTCGAATCCCTGGTTCGTTTATGCAGCTGCCCATTTTTAATGTTCCATTTTTTTCTTTCCTCCATGTGCACCCCAGCCATACTTCTTTCCTAATTATGGTCATCTAGCTCTTAGTCTCCACAACCCATCTGCAGCTCAAATTAATCAGGAAATATCTCCACTTAGCAAATTCAAGGGTCGAAACATTTAAAGGGCGGCTCCTTCCAGTGTGGCATGGCACAGTGGTTCTTGAGCTGATCTGCAGTTAATTCAGCAGCCGCTGGGTCCATAGGCGGTTGGAGCTGAGTCTTTGTCATTCAGAGCAACACAGCAAGAGCAAATCTTAATGCAGCATCCAGGCTTCAGAACACACTGAAAGACTTGTTCCCATATCCAGTCCTCAAAATTATTCACATGGTTTTTTTTTAAACGACACATTTCTCTTCATAAAAAATGTAATAGTTATCGATTGTCTCCATTTCTATTAAGATTTGATCGTTTCCCAGGAGCTTTCAATAAACCGTTCGTTTGAGCCTCCAAACCATTTTAAGAGGGAGGTACACTGTTACTTCTATGTAGCTGAAGAGGAAAGCATGTGAGATTTGCTTGAGGTTCAACAACTAGTCAGGAGCACAAGCCGATGTGACTGCAGTTGTCCAGAGACTTTTCAATAAAATGCCTGCAGTCCTGAGAATGGCACTCTTGGATCCTGCTGCAGTTTGAGGGGTGTGGGAAGGGGGAGACAGGAAGGAGGCAGTATAAATTGGTAAAACTTTTCTGAAAAGTATTTGAAAATATCCATACCCTGACATTCCCTTCCAGATAATAAAACTACAATGATCAAAACAGTTTCTATTAATAGCTGAATCCATGAAACAGAAGAAATAACCAGAAATATATATGTACTGTGTTTTTATATATACTAAATTGTATATATACAAGCAGTGGATTAAATGGATTCTTTAATCATTAACGTTGGAATCATTGAAAAAAGAATTTAAGGGGCGGCTGGCTGGTTCAGTAGGTAGAGCATGTGACCCTTGATCTCGGGGTTGTGAGTTCAAGCCCCATGTTGGGTGTAGAGATTACTTAAAGATTAAAAAGAATCTATTAAAAAAAGAATTTAAGTTAGAGTCTTACCTCATATTTTTATACATTTCACTTGAACTAAAATGGTAAATATAAAAAATAGAAATCATCCCCAAAAATGAAGGTCACTATTAGTTAGATATCAGTAAGAGGGAAAGCAAGGAAAGAAATTGTGAGGGTAAAAGATAGATACATTTGGGGCACCTGGGTGGCTCCGTCGGTTAAGTGTCTGCCTTCAGCTCAGGTCATGATCCCGGGGTCCTGGGATCGAGCCCCACATCAGGCTCCCTGCTCAGCATGGAGTGTGCTTCTTCCTCTCCCTCTGCTGCTCCCCCTGCTTGTGTTCTCTCTCTGTCAAATAAATAAGTAAAAATTTTTAAAAAAAGATAGATACATTTGGGCGCCTGGGTGGCTCAGTTGGTTAAGCGACTGCCTTCGGCTCAGGTCATGACCCCGGAGTCCCGGGATCGAGTCCCGCATCGGGCTCCCTGCTCGGCAGGGAGTCTGCTTCTCCCTCTGACCCTCCCCCCTCTCATGCTCTCTGTCTCTCGTTCTCTCTGTCTCAAATAAATAAATAAAATCTTAAAAAAAAAAAAAAGTTAAAAAATTAAAAAAAAAGATACATACATTTACCTTCAAACAAAAATTTTAAAATGTCTGTATATCGAGAGGAAGAAGAAGGAGGAGGAGAAGAAGGAGAAGGAGAGGAGAAGAAAGAAAAAATTCAAAAGGCAAAACACAAACTAAGAAAAATGCCAACAGGGGCACCCGGGTGGCACAGGTGGTTAAGCATCCGACTTTTGGTTTCTGCTCAGGTCATGATCTCAGGGTCGTCAGATCGAGTCCTGCGTCAGGCTCTGGGATCAGCTCAGAGTCTGCTTGAGACTCTCCTTCTCCCCCTCCTCCCGACCTCTCTCTCTCTCTCAAATAAATAAATCTTAAAAAAAAAAAAAAGGAAAATGTCAACAAGTATGATCATCACAGGGTTACTATCTTCAGTACATAAGATGTTCTTACAATCGATCATACAATGTTGAAAGCTCGTAATTACACATGAAAAAACGTTCATCCTCTCCAGGAATCAAGATGTTGTGGGGTTGTTTCTGTTGACCAAATAGGAAAGGCCTTTAAAAGTAAATACAAAACCTAATATTATTAAGGATGTGGTAAAATGTACAGTGAGGATGTATGAGTATATGATTTGTACAACTTTCTGAAATGCATTTTGTCAATTTCCAAGAAGAGTTTTACAAATGTTCTTTGTAAAGAACATTCCACTATATTTTGCTACCTGCTTTTTTTCACTGCTATATTCCCAGTGCCCTGAACAGTGCCTAGTAACCTCTTCTGGGAATCTATGCTAAGGAAATCATCATAAATGTAACAATATATTTATATATATTTGTTGGAGGCACCTGGGTGGCTCAGTTGGTCCAGCGGCTGACTCTTGATTTCAGCTCAGGTCATGATCTCAGGGTCCTGGGATCAAGCTCCCCATCAGCCTCTGTGCTCAGAAGGAAGTCTGCTTATGATTCTCTCTCTCCCTCTGCCTGCCCCCCCCCCAACACATAAGCACACACTCATGCTCTCCATCTCTCAAATAAATAAATAAATCGTTTTTAAAAAGGTACTTGTTGTTGGGTGCCTGGGTGGCCCAGATGGTTAAGCGTCTGCCTTCGGCTCAGGTCATGATCCCAGGGTCCTGGGATCAAGTCCCGCATCAGGCTCCCTGCTCCTTGGGAGCCTGCTTCTCCCTCTGCCTCTCTCTCTCTGTCTCTCATGAATAAATAAATAAAATCTTTAAAAAAAAAAAAAAGGTACTTGTTAATTATAGAAGAGAAAATTCTAAAGAAATCTTGATTCCAACAATGAACGATTAGATGAATAATGGAATACACACAATGCAATATCATGTAGCCATCAACAAAACATACTTCAAAATAGTATTTTAAAACACAAAGGAACACTTGCAATATAATGTGAAGTAAAATAAATGGGAGATCCAAATTGAATGATTCCAATTATATACCTAATCTTACTAAAAAGATTGGAAGGAGGGGGCACCTGGGTGGCTCAGTTGGTTAAGCGATTGCCTTCGGCTCAGGTCATGATCCTGGAGTCCCGGAATCGGGTCTGCATCGGGCTCCCTGCTCAGTGGGGAGTCTGCTTCTCCCTCTGACCTTCCCCCCTCTCATGTGCTCTCTTTCTCTCTCATTCTCACTCTCTCAAATAAATAAATAAATAAAATCTTTAAAAAAAAAGATTGGAAGGAAATATACCAAAATACTGAATAGTGGCTATCACTAGACCATGAGGTTGTAAGCGATTTCTTATTTATCCTTTGTTTTCAAATTATCTATACAGGGCAGGACTAATTTTATGATGGGAAAACTAAAAATATAAAAAATCTACATGAAGCATCTCCCAACCAATGTTGAATGTGGTGCTGGTAAGAAGGTCCACTCCTCCAGTGAGCTATTGGATCATGTTGCAACTCTCCTGTTGGGGGCATGACTGATTTTCCAGGAGTGGGAGACAAATGAGGATGTTTGAGGGAAGCAGGTTAATTTAAGGCTCTTCAGTAAAAGGTACCATCTGTGAGACAAATCCCATAGGAGATCTAGAGTGTGAGGCAGATTAGGAATTTAAGTATCTAGTAAGCCCAGATGCACATTAATGAGCCTGAGAGGTGGGAGGGAGAGGAGAGAGAGAGACCAAATGAATTGGCAGGGGGGCTTCTATCTTCAGTCCTCTTCCTTTCTCTCTACATGTTCTCTCACAATCATTAGCACTCTGTTTCCTCCCTCCCTCCCTTCCTCTCTTCCACATTTATTGAGCACTTACTATGTATCAGAAACCAGAAATTGTTATAGGAGCTAAGGATATATCAGTGAACAGACTAGACGGTGGGATGACTTACAGGGTCTATCAGTGGGGATTAGGTTTAGCTGCAATAGTAAAGTAAAGTAAAGGCAGTCTAGATATAGGCAACCCGGGGCTGGCATGGCAGCTCTAGTATCACAAGGGATTCAGGCTCCTTATCTTTTTGATCCACCATCCCAGCATTCGATCTTCAGGGTTACCTCCTGATCCAAAATGGCTGCTGGGGCTCCAGCCATCACATTCACATCGCAGGCTAGAAGAAAGAGAAATGGTAGAAGGGCAAAAGGGTACCTCTTCCCAGCTAATTCAGCTTCTTTTTGCTCATATCTCTTTGGGCAAAATTAAGTCATACATGCCTGCAAGGGAGGCAAAATATTGCTGCCTTGAATAAAATTTACTTATAAACTGATTATAAACCAATAGTGTGTACTGAGCATCGGTAATGTGTCTGGCACTTTATAAAACAACCCTGCAGGTTGTAGATACCAAAGCAGGTAGCATCGATGCCATTTGACACACGAGAAAAGTAAGGTTCAGTAGGTTTAATGAGCTTGCTCAGAGGTCACACAACTAGTTAATGGTGGAGCTGACCCCCTAAATCCCAGGCTCTTTCCACTATATTTTGCTACCTTCCCATCAGCATAAAAAAGGTAGAAGAAATTTCCTCAGGCTTGTCATTGTCCATATTTAAAGACAGGCCACTTTTTTCTATTTAAAATTTATTGAGGGACGCCTGGGTGGCTCAATCAGTTAAGCATCTGCCCTTGGCTCAGGTCATGATCCCAGAATCCTGGGATCGTGTCCTGCATCGGGCTCCTTGCTAAGTGGGGAACCTGCTTCTCCCTCTGCCTGATGCTCCCCCTGCTTGTTCTCTCTCTCTCAAAAATAAATAAAATCTTAAAAAAAAATGCATTGGTGCCATGCAGCCAATGAAAAGAGTTGGGGTAGATCTGTATAAAAGCAGGGCCTTGGTCTGTTCTGTTAACTGCTATATTCCCAGTGCCCCGAACAGTGCCTGGCAAATAGCAGATATCCAATAAATACGTGTTGAATGTATAATGTGGAAAGAAATTTCCCATAAGCCCCAAATGTGCTCTCATGCCTTTTCTACTTAATCCCACCCCTCAGAAGTAGTCACTATTCTGATTGTATCACCAGAGATGAGTTTTGCCTTCTCTTGAACTTCATATGAATGGAATCACATCCACAACTCTTTGGTGTCTGGTTTCTTTTGCTCAATAATTTTTTTTGAGATGTATTCATGTTGCTATGTGTATCAGTAGTTCATTTCTTTTTATGACTGTACTATTTCATTGTTTGAATATACCATAGTTTCTCCATTCTTCTTTTTTTTTGTTTTAAGCTTTTATTTATTTATTTGACAGAGAGAGATAGCGAGAGAGGGAACACAAGCAGGAGGAGTGGGAGAGGGAGAAGCAGGCTTCCCGCCGAGCAGGGAGCCCGACGTGGGGCTCGATCCCAGGACCCTGAGATCATGACCTGAGCCGAAGGCAGACGCTTAACGACTGAGCCACCCAGGCGCCCCATCTCCATTCTTCTTTTGACAGATATTTGGAATATTTCCAGTTTGAGGATATTATGAATAAAGATATTAAGAGCAGTGTGTGTGTATATCTATGCTTACATTTCTCTTGAGTGTATAACTAGGAGTAGAATTTCTGGGTCATAGGATAGGTGTACATTTAGATTGATAAACTGGCAAACAATTTCCAAAAATGGTTGTATCCTATTTTCCACCAGCAATGCATAAGTGTGAGAAAGAGATCTTTGACTACTTCTATTACTTCCATAATGACTTCTTAAAGTATTGACTTTTAAATCTAATCAAACAAGAATCACAAAATCTGAAAAGAAATCGCCTATCTGGAAATTCTCCTGAAAGGCAGGCGTTGAGCTGCTGAGGATCCATAGCATCATCTGACAGGTTCTATTTGCATTTTCCAGGACAGCAAAATGCTTATCAACCTTGGCACAGCTTTCAATGAATTGAGCCACAAGGAGTCATTTCCTCTTTCATTTTTTCTCTGCCTACAACTCAGACCTCAGGAGAAGAAGGGAGTGTTAGAAATGTGAAACTGTGTAAAGCTCATTCATAAGAAGCACTTATTGGTTTGGTGTGCCCAGCACCTTGCTGGACACAAAATGGGAAAGAGGAAAGATGTGGATGATTCCATTCTTGTTCTCGAGTTGCTCACAACCTAGCTGATGGATACGACGTGGCAACCCTCTGCCTACCACGTAAAGACCTGACGCTGTTCTGGATTCTGTCCTTTGCTCTTTCTGTGCTCTACTCCACTTGCTCTTCTCATCTCATCTGAGCCCATGATTTCAACTACCCATCACACCTCCCTCCCAAATCACCATGCCCAGTGGGACCTCACCATGGGCTCCAGACCTATGTCTTCCAACTGCTTCCATCCTCAACTCCTCTCGAATGCTCATACTTACATATGATTCATCAGCAAATTTTGTTAACTTTGCCTTTAGAATACAGTCGGCAGGGGGGTGCCTGGGTGGCTCAGTCGGTTAAACGTCTGCCTTCAGCTCAGGTCATGATCCCAGGGTCCGGGGATCGAGCCTCACATCGGGCTCCCTGCTCACTGGGGAGTCTGCTTCTCCCTCTCCCTCTGCCCCTCCCCCCCATCTGTGTGCTCGCTCTCTCTCTCTCTTAAATAAATAAATAAAATCTTTAAAAAAAATAAGAATACAGTCAGGATCATACTATTTTTCACCACATGCTTCCCTGTGACCCTGGTTGAAGGCACTATCATCCCTGGTCTGCATTCCTGCCATAGCTCTACCAAACCAGTAAGGCCCTCTTATTGCCAGTACCTACTCTGTATTCGTTTCCCTTCCTTTTGGTAGTAGACACTTGAATTACCTTTGGTGAATGTAACCATCAGGGTTCCAGGAAAAGATTAATCAGAGGCGCATTTGGTAAAAGTTAGTCACAAGTGTGTGGCCAGGGCTGAGGGAAACAAGAAGGGATGGAAGAGGTATGGTACCCTGCAGCTGCCAGTGGAGGGGAGCCATGACCACCTCTAGGCTAAGAGAAGAAAGACCTTAACAAAACTAGAGGAGAGATCTGTAGGACACTTGACAGAAGCCTCAGTAGATGTATGCAGCCAACCTGCAGGAACCTGAGAGGGAAGGGGCCTGTAGAGTAAAACCCTCATTTCATCTTCCTCCACCCGCTCTGATCTCCTAACATCTTCTATTGGAAAAATTCAACTGGAAGCCAGAGGAGACTGGACCCGCTGAAGCCATCTACGCAGGTCGGCCTCCTGAGATACCAATCAGGAAGGAAAAGGGCAGAGAGTGCATCACCTAAAGGGACCAACAGAAAATACCCTCACACAGGAAGCCACCTCTCCTCAGTTCTCAGCCTGTGAGATTTGAGAGCTTGAGAGCGGCCGACCTCACTGCATCGCAGCTCCAGAGGTGAGAGCATGCGCCCCCAGGCCTGGACAGTCAGAATATCCCAGGCCCCTTCTCAAGAGGGTGGTTTATTGATGCATAAGTAACCCAAATCCGAACAACAAGAGGCAGTGCCAGGACTTTTGTTGACAGCCACGAGGAAAATAAACTCTCTTTCTGTTGGTAAGGACGTGATGTGAAGTTGTAAGCAGCCATTCTGCCATCTCATGGAGAAAGGCAGCCTGAGAGTGAAAAATCAACACAAAGGAAAACAGTCAGGAAGTGGTGAATAAAGACTGAATCTGGGAGTACCTGGTGGGCTCAGTCGGTGGAGCAGGCGACTCTTGATCTTGGGGTTGTGAGTTTGAGCCTCATGTTGGATGTAGAGATGACTTAAAAATAAAATCTAAAAAAAAAAAAACAAAAAAAACTAAGTTCTGATGTCATAGTTTTAAGCCCCCAGATCCAGTCTGCCTGGAACCCATACCTTTTCTGTTACGTGAAGCAATGAATTCCATTTGCTGCTTAGCCCAGCTGGGTTTACTACATGCAAAAAAAAAAAAACCCTCTTGAATAATACTTAATACCGATCCCCAAAGACCAACACAAAGGTATACTTGTATGTCTCTAAATATGCTGTTGTTACTATGAAGTGCCCTTGCCCATATTCTCCACCTAGAAAAATCCTACTCAAATACTGTCTTATCTGCATGTCTTTCCCTCCATTTTCCCAGTAGAATTGCTCACTTCTTCCTCTGTTTTGTCAGCACTTTGTAAATGCTCTATTAGTGCATGTATAAAACTGTCTCACAGTTACTTGTTTGCTCATCTGTCTCCTCTATCTGTGAGCTCCTGATAGGGTAGATCTGTGTGGACATTACCCTGAACAGCCCAGGGCCCAGCCTAATACCTCAAGGAGAACTCTGGGTTAAACAAGGCAACACGGTCTTTTTACATAAGGGCCTCTCAGAACCATTTCTGTGTTGACAAGCATCATGGATCCTCAAGCAGTGGTACAGAATGCAGCAGTTCCCAGACTCATTTGACCTAACAACTCAATTTTTTGCCCAAGTTGCTGGGTTAGAGTCACCTAGAGAAGAAAAAATTCTTGCAGTTCTTCGGGTGTCTTTGATGAAAAAAGTGGCTCTCAATAAATATTTGTGAAATGGATGAAAAGGAAGATCTTGGTTAGGTCAAGGTCCCGAGCAGGGGCAGCAGGGTTGGAAGCAGCAGAAACAACAGAAGCAATGAGCAGTAAGCAGGAAGGGTGATCTCTCTGATGGCAGAGGGTCAGTCGTTAGGGTGATTGGGACCATAATCCAACCCCGTCTCCTTAGTGTAAATCTAACAGCCATTAGATGTATTCCAGACACTTTAATCCTTCTTCCCACCCCATGCCCAGGGTGCTGAGTGCCTGACAACACTGCCTCCTGGATTTTGACCTTCAATTTGCTTTACCTTGCCTCTGAGGGGGCTAGGGGTGGGTCATCAGAACTGATTTTCTTCCAATTGCACCCTTAAGACAAATTCCTTTCCTGTTTTCTGCCTCTGTTTCCCTCTCCGTGAGCTAAGGGAAGAGACAAGGCTCACTTCCAAGCTTGGCTCAGTTGCCTTGTAAAAAGAAAAAAGAACAAGAAAATATAATAATAGCCAAAGAGCCCCAGGCCTACCATTTTAACTTTGGACAACTCACTGACTAGCTTAGGTGCTTGCTCTGTTTGTAAAATGAACATAATTATGTCCCCTTGTCTCCCGGGGCTTCTGAGAGCAGCAAACAAGAGTGTGCGTGAGAAGTACTTTGTAAATGTAAAGCACTAAAAATGTAAATATTATTAACATCGTACATAACGTTAATATGTACGGGGGAGGAAGAAGAGGGAGGGGAAAGAGGCGGGGGGGGGAGAGTTGGGGGGGAGAGTAGTGGGGGAGGGGGAGGAGGCTGCGGCAGCGGCGGCGGAATCCCACCGCGGTGAGGAGACCAGGCTGCGGAGCTGCACACGCGGTCTGCCGACAGCTCAGCCACCTGCTAGCCGCTGCTCTCCTCGGGCAATTCAGCACGTCCATAAAAGCTGGCTAATAATATCCGGTTCGCCGGTCACCGTGAGGTTAAACGGGGTAAAGCTCGCCAAGCCCGCGGCGCACTGTACATAGTAACTGGCGCTCAGTTAATGTCCCTAATACTCCCACTAACTACTCTTGTGGCCGACACATGGAGCTAACCTGAGGAGATAAACTATTTGTGGCCACGGTGGGAGACGAGAAGGGCGCCAAAGGTCCTGTCGTCGGGGACCTAAAGCCCCACTCCAGCGCAGCAGCCCCAGCGCCCCACGGCCCGGGAACCAGCAAACCCAGCGGTGCCCGCCAAGTGCGCGCGCGCGGCCGGCTCCGCCCCGCCCCCAAGGACGCGCGCGAAGGGCGGGGCCGCTTCCTGCTGGCGTCCGGGCACGGCGCGGCCCCGCCGGCCGCCGACCTCGGGCGCCTGCGCCGCGCGCGCTCCGCCGAGGGAGGGGGAGGGGGAGGGGGCGGGGCGGGGACGCGCGCGCCCGCACGACGCCGGCAGCCCGGCTGGGCCCTGACGCCGCTCCCGCCCACGGCGAGGCTGCGGCTCCGGCGAGCGTCGAGGGCGTGGCGGCGAGGCTGCGGGCGGCCCGAGCCGCGCGAACTGTGCCTCGGTCGTCGCCAGCCGCCCGCCGCGTCTCCCCGGGCCCCGCTCCTCGCGGCGCCCCGGCTCCCGCGTAGCCCGTCGGGGCGCCCCGGCCTCGCCCCTGCCCGCCTTCCCTCCTTCCTGCAGCGGCCAAGCCCGCAGGTGAGTCCCCTTCGCAGCGTGGGGCGGGCGCGCGGCTTCTCCCAGCCGGGTCTGCAAGCAGCACTGGGGAGCGTGGGGGGCGCGGGGTGCGGAAAGTTAAAAAGATAGAAACGGAGCGCAGACACCCGAGAGAGGTGGGCGTTCCAGTGCCCGAGACCCTAGAGATGCTGCGCGTCCAGGGTCCTCTCCCTCGCGCGCCCTGCGTCTTCTCCGGCAGCTCTGGGGTGGTGCCTTGGAGAACAAAACCAAGAAAATTGTTCCCTCCTGTCCACCACCAGTTGTCTCGCAACAGTTTGACTCTTGGAATAGCTGACGGGCCCAGCTTTACTGAAGGCAGGAAAGGTGCAGTCGGGAAAACAGGGACGGCCAGGAGTTCGAAGCCCCTCTCCACCCCCTTGCCCCTTGATAATGCACGATTAGCCATCGCTTTACTTAACTCGCTAACTTCGTGCAACTTGTCTGTCTGCTTCCACCTGCTGTCTGGACCGGTAGAGTGATAGTGGTCTGTTTTCAGATTGCTTCACTCCAGCTTCGGTGCAAAATCTGATCATCGCCCTCAGGGATTAGGAGTCTAGTGTCGGGAGCAGGTCAGACCCGTTTCAGTGACAAACCAGGATTCGTTAAAGTGTTGTTTCAGTGTAGTGCTCAAAGCCAGAAATATTCTCTCCCTTGTACTGAAAATTACCTAGCACACCACGTTTATTTGCACTTTTCATAGAATTCTCTGCATTTCATGGAAGTCTCTGATGTACTATTTGGTGAGAGAAGCAACTGACGTATTTTGTAGCTATTGCTGCATAGGATTCAAAATAATTTAAGACTATTTCATTAGCTCTGGCTGAGTTTCTTTAATTATAAAAAATACAACATTGAGACTCAGGGTATAGATTTTTGTGCCTCACACCAATTTGTACTTTTTGACAGGGACTTTTTGTTGGTATTGAGGAATTTTTGATGGAGGAAGAAAGGCTTGAGGACTGTGCCCCTTCTTCAGTCATACCGTCAGCTTTACATTTAACTGCCACGGCAAACCTTTTCTTTCCTGGCGTGGGAAGAGATTTCATTGCTATTAGGGAAAACAGGATTTTTTCCCCATTATTTAAGTGTAACATTTGTAAAGCTTTTAAACATGTGGGATGTCAGGGGTTACAAATGAAAACACATTTTGTATGGTGCCAGAGGATTTGTTGGTTGAAAAGACTTAAGCAAAACATCATGATAAATAGTGTGATTTGGAAATCCATTAGGCTGAAGCCTGTGAAATAAGGGAAGCTCCAAAGTTCCAATACCATTTGTTATTTAGACCCCCCAAAAATCCCCAGAAGGTGGGGGTCAGACAGTGGATCTCCACTCTCCCTCTAGAATGTAGAGGTTCTAGTGAGGGAAAATGCATTACGTACAGCAGAACGAATAGCATCAGTCTTTTATATCTCTACCTTAATAGGTCTTTAAAACCTGTTATTTTCATATGTTCCCACAGTTGATTTTTTTTGTTGTTGTTGTTTGTTTCTGTTCTCTCTCTCACACTAAGAAATACCACTATTCCTGGTGGAGCACTGAAGCTCAATAATTATAATAGGACCAATTCTAAATTATCTGTGAAAAGAGGCCATAGGTCACTGAAACATAAAAAATACAAAAATCTAATTTTCACCTACTTTAGTTTTGCATCAAAAAAAAAATTTTTTTTTGGCCACAACTACTAAAAAGCAGTAAAAGTCTACCTATAAGTAGTAAATAAGGAGGGGATAGAAGTTGGAGACTTACATGATAGCCATTCAGGGCCCCCATATTGACAATTCTGAGGGTTTCTTTGAAAAAAGAAATTTAGTCTAAATTCTAATTTAGAAGGTTTTAAAAGGAATTTAGTAGTTCAACAACATCTGTGAGTATTGTCCTTATTTTATATATGAGAGAACAAATAAAAAGCCAAATGACTTACTGCAAGGTTATTCAGCAGGGCATATGTAGAGCTGGAAAGGGGGCACCTGTTTGTTTCCAGTATTGTTCAGTAGCATTTTGAATACATCAAAAAATAATAAAGTGCATCTAGCTCAGGCATTTTAAAAGTTCACCAAGTTGAGAAGCATACTATTTTGAAAAATTATTTAAAAAAAAAAATCCTGGAGGAGGAGGAATTTACCTTTTCTTGATCAAAACTTAAAATGCAAAGATCAAATGCACATGCCTTACATTTTGCCTTGATGGATTACTTTTGTCACAATGCTCGTAGTAGAGCGGATGGTCATGCTACTTGGAGTTTTCCACTCATTTGATATTTCCATGAAGAAACAATTTGCCAGAAGCTGGCCACAGCTACATTTGCCCTGAGATGACGCTAAACCCCGATTAGCACAGACCTTTGCTTACAAAAGCTGGAGGATATTGGTTCAGCCCTTTCTGTTAAACCAGTCAGGATTTCCCTGGGTTAGTAAACTTCAGGACAGCTTGGTCTTGTAATAGTTGGAGTGGAACAGAGTTAGCAACAACTTCAGAACCAACAGTATAGAAACAGTGTACTTTTGCAACTTTTTTCTTTGTCTTAATAAAACCAAGCTACTTGTTAAATACCAGCAGAGTCACTTTATAAAATGATTTCTATACAGATGTGCTAAGATTGTCGTTTCCACTGGTTGATTTTGATCATCTCTCTCTTTCTGTTCAAATCTAACTGCATTTATGATGTCAGAAAATTATGAACTGGTTGATGATGTTGACTTAAGCTATATCCAAAAAAATGTCCTGGCTTGCGTTCAGCAAGAGAACCGTCATCTGAAAGATAATATCTCTAATATTGTGTGCACTGAATTACAACATAAAATTCCGTGAAGCCAATAAAAAAGGAACTGTGGCCTTTTTTTTTTTTTCCAGCTAGCTGTCTGTTTTTAAATCTTTAAATGTGTTCTTCCTGGAGGCAAATTACTACTGCCAGTGATTGCTCTGAGCTGGTTTCATTGTCCCATCTGCCACTGAACAGTTTTCATGAAATGATATAAAGCATTCATTTTATTTCTTGTAGCCTTTTTTTTGCTTGGAATTAGATAATATGGTTATGTATTTTTTTCATTTTATTTTAATATCTGTTCCACTGATGGTTCTGATATTATTGGCATCCTTTCAACCCAGCAATGCCTTGATGTAGATTGTGCATATGTAAAAATAATTGTTGAGGACTAACTATATGCAAAGCATTGTTCTGAGCACTTTGCGTTTAATCTTTCTGGCATCCTTATTGGTTAAGGGTTATTATTTTATAATTCTATTTTAGAGTTGAGGAAATGGGAAGGGAAGCAAAATAATTTGCCTAATATAGAGTACTGGGGGAGCTTAAATCTAGAGTTTAAATCTAGAAAATTGATTGTGGAGCCTGAATCTTCCTGAGATATACTTAAAGACTGTTCAGACTTGTTTGCGGTTACTGTGATATTTCATCAATCCATCCTTTTATTTTTTTAATTATTACTATTACTATTTTTTTTTTTTAGAGAGGGAGGGGCAAAGAGAGGGAGAGAGAATCTTAAGCAGTCTCCACACCTAACACAGAGCTGATGCAGGGCTCGATCTCATGACCCTGAGATCATGCCCCCAGCTGAATCTAGAGTCAGGTGCTTAACCAACTGAGCCACCCAGACACCCCAAAATCCAATCTTTTAAAGTGTATCAAATATACAATAATGTGTATGTGAAGAAAATGTAGCAATACTATAAAGATTATTGAACTATCTTGGGACAAAAGGCACATTATTTAACAATAATCTAAAAAATTTGAAGAGAAAATAACCATAAGGACATTATTGGGATAACTGACAAAATTTGAATATAGATGCTGATTTAGGTAACAGTATTATATCAGTGTTAAATCTCCTGGTTTTGATCATTGTACTGTGGATTGTGTAAGAAAATGATCTTGTTCTCACACAGTGAAATACTTGGGAGTAAAGACAACACAGTTGTCTTACTCTCAGTGGTTCAGGGGGAAAAGTATATGTTTAGAAATAGAATGATTTGGGGGCACCTGGGTGGCTCAGTTGTTGGGCTACTGCCTTCGGCTCAGGTCATGGTCCCAAGGTCCTGGGATTGAGCCCCGCATCAGGCTCCCTGCTCGGCGGGAAGCCTGCTTCTCCCTCTCCCACTCCCCTTGCTCGTGTTCCCTTTCTCGCTGTGTCTCTCTCTGTCAAATAAATAAATAAAATCTTTAAAAAAAAAAAAAAATAGAATTATTTTAAAAATGGGCAAAAATGTAATTAATTGGTAACTCTGGGTAAAGAGTATACAGGAATTCCTTGTACTATTCTTACTTTTCTGTTTGAAATTTTGTCAAAAGAAAGTCACCCCAAAGTGAAGGTAGAAAACAGGAAATGAAGGTATAACATTCTAAGAATCTTTTTTTTTTAAGTCAAGTGAGGGATTGTTTCCTATGCTCTGATTTTTTTTTTTTTTTCCTTTTTAGGGGTTGGAGGAAGGATCTTGAAAGAACAAATCTTATCAAAAATAGCTTGATTTTCTCATATTTCCAAATCTACCCTTTCAGAACTCCCCAACTTTCCAGCC